CCTATTGTAGTCATATCACTAGCGAGAAACACTGGAATAACATGACAGACGAATTTATGCTTTAACAGCTATATTATGCGTCGAATACTGCACCTTGAAGCTATATCCCTGGAAGTCATCTGATTGAGTCGGAGTATGCAAACGATATTGTCCTGCTAGGCGAAAACTCTGAGGGTCTTCTGAAGGCCATGAGCAGAAATCTTAAGTATGTTTAGCGTGCGTCTTGCACCTGTCAAACGTAAGATGATGAATACTCTAGGACTTATGTACGACTACTACCAGTTACGTGATGAGGACTGAAGTGTTGGAATGTGTCGACCATTTCACTCACTTGGGGAGTTCCATTAGCTCGTCGCCGACGAAATCTCAGCTTAGATACAAAAGGCATTTTCGGGATTCGCCAACTTGTGAGATATCCGACTAACTACCAAAGAACGTGAATACTGCGCTACAGTCCGTTCTGTCACGTTATACGGCTGCGAGACATGGGCGTTAAAATTAGAAGACATGAAGCGATTATGGGGTACTGCACATGCCAAACCACTGCCTACGTAAACATGCCGTATTGGGGAGGAGCTGAATTAGGTTGGGAAAGGGTTCAGGGTAGACAGACCAAGACCTGGTACCAGTCGGTGAAATCCTTGACTTCTGAAGTGGGTCCGTGTTAGGATATAAGAATATTAGTGGTTGAGGAATCTTTTTGGAAGTAGTCAGTGGCGCAAATGTATTCTTTTTGATGTCCCCTGAAGCTTGAACATTTGCGCTAACTTTAATCTTCAAATTGCTTATTTCCTCACACAACTCTGTCTACTTGATATCACTCTTTTTATTCACCTTTTCTTTGTATACTATTGTGAAATGTAGCAACTTGAACCGATCCACATGTGGACGAGGTTCTACGATGATTCTATGTGACTGCTTGCATCACCTAACCGAATATATAGCATTTTAAATCATAGCTAACAATGCTTATACAGAAATAGGTTATCAACATCCAAACAGTTGAAACTAAGTACTATTGATGAACCTTGAAGAACATAAACTACCGCAAAATCGAACAGTATAATTGTTGCATCACTGCAATTACTTTGATGGGTCATTTGCGTCGATATGCCAAAAAAGTAAATGACACACGTACCATTATAACTTATATGTTCCAAACTTAGCAATTGAAAACATGAGGGAAGAGACGGCAGACACCAGAAATACCTTTCTGTAATCACGTTGAAATATCCAGTTTGCTTTTCACATTACTAACAACTTGAAAAAAAATTCACTAAAGCGTTTTGCTTGATTTTCTTAAAATACAGATGCTAGAGCTGCAATGAACATGACCGACACCTTACAAAGACAAAAAGAAGGATCGAAGTAAATGAACTTAAGTTACAAAATGAACACGAACACTTCATTTGTTTAGGGCGAAAATCACCCTACGTACTTATGGCAGTATTTCTGACTACATTGCAGACACAACTCGAAGCAACTGAAGATTCCTTCACTAATTTCCATTCTGTAGACCATATATTTCTTAATCTCTTCTTTTTTCAATTCATCTCATTTTTTCACTGATTTTCTGTTGGTAAACCTATTTAAAAATAGGCAATTTCAGCTGGTGGACTAATATGCAAGATAATTGAGATGCTAAGCGTTTGTCAAACGCGATCGCTCTACAGACTTCGTTACAACACACTATTTGAATATAATTCTTTCTTAACTACCGTACAAACTCCTCATTCAAGAGCATTGAGTAGCTTATCAATAGTTAGTAAGTACTAACATAAGAAATGGAGATTTACATGGCATCAAACTTATCATCTACCTTCCATCAACAGCCACAGGAATTCGAGGCATAAATATGATGCCTTAAAACTTCAATAGCAGTAGCCTTAAGTTGACTTCTTTTCATATTCAACAAGACACATTCAATTACAATAGTAACTGGCAGATGGAAATTGTTGTTGTATGCCCCTAATTTTGCATAGCTCTTGCCTGCTATTTTTACACGCTTACTAACTTTTCTTCCCTCTACTCTCAAGGTTGAACTCTCATTGATTGTTAACTATTTTTAATCTTACGTGGATTTAGCGTTGTCAAGATCATTTGGAAATGTATATATTCAGCACCGTTGTCGACTGTTGTTGAGTCAATGAAAAGCTCTCTATCAACGGTCTGTCTTCGCTTCTTGTCTTCAGGCGTCGGTGATATTGTTGTGGTGGTGGTTGACGTTCTGATTTGCGTTAGAGTCGATTCGTAGTCTGCTAGGCTCGTAGACTGTTAGGTCATGCTATCGATCATAGCAGCTGTCCACCACATTTATGGCTCTGCACCAGTAATAATTGACTATGGTACGAAAAACAAGTCAGTTAAGCGAAGTTGCGGCTCTGCTAATCTACACTAATTGAACCAAAAACTTTTCCTCTAGAATACAAACTAATCTAAGAAATAAGCACTTCACTTCTTTGAAAATTCTCATTAAAATTTAATATTTCAAGGTGTGTAATATGTGCTTAATATGAAACTGAGTTTAATATGACAGACTGATTGACAAAATCAACGTAGAATCTCGCACACATGTGCATCAGCTCAAGTTGCAACGCTTCACAGTAATATACAAAGAACAGGTGGATAGGAAAAGTTATATCAAAGTAGAAAAAGTTGCGTGAGACAATAAACAATTTGAAGATGAAGGTTAGTGCAAACATTCAAGCTGTAGGTGTCAAAGACAGAATACATTTAGGCCATTGTTATCGATTTCCAGCCATTTCACCAAGGGTCCTCAACCACTCATTCTCCTTCCGTCTAGGGGACCCCAACCAGGTGGCCTTTATCTCCCCACACGGCTCAGATCAACAGTAGGAGACTTTATGAACTGGCGTCATGTCTTGATCTGTCCACTCAGAACCCTCTTCCAAAGTAGTTCAGCTTCCCCCAGCATGGCACGTCTACGAAGGCAATGGTTCCACATGCGTAGTACATGTCCAAACTATCCCAGTCGACTACGGTTCACAACCTAACCAATGAACTTGCCTAGTACCGTTCGCTCGATCTTAACATTGCTCACATGGTGATTCCACCAAACGCCAAGCATGCTACGAAGACATTTGTGACAGAAACCCCGTAACCGCTTCATTTCTAATTTTAACGGCCGCGTCTCGCAGCCGCATAACAGGACAGTTTCTTTCTGTAAATTTAATCATCACAACTTGTAGTTTATGAAAAGAAATAAGTCGCAACATTATCCAAATTAAAATATCCCACTAACTGAACTCGGGCACTCGCTAAATTAACTCGACAGACAGAACACTACAAAGTTACAAACTTGTAAAACCAACAAACCAAAACATTTTTATCTGTTTATGCATATGTAACTACTACTGGAACAATACAACAGTGATTGAAGAATTTGAACAATAGATATGTGTGTCATTGAAAACACTGTTCAACTTCCTTTACAACAATACTGAATACAGTATTTGCACGATAGATCAAAAACAATAGAATGATGAATAAGCAGTGAGTGAGAACAGGCATTACACATTGAAATACAATAATGAAATTTATTCGGTCAAAAAGTATGACTTGCAAACGCATTTTATCACATAGAGTGACAAATAATGGGGAAAATGCTATATCCATCATTAGTCAATAAATTCATATTACAATAATAAGATTTATAATGCAAAGAATTATTCAAGTCTGTTGCTGTTTATTGTCCGCCTTTTCCTTCATTTTAGTTACAATATGAGCGGGGAAAAATTCACATGAGATGGATAAGCCAACAAAGGGATATTTTACGATACTTTCACCTTTCAGGAAATCAAGATATGAACACGTAGTATGTGTAAAACACAACATGAGGTGTAATAGTTTGTTTCTTGCAAAGCCTTTATTACTAATGTTCAAGCAAGGGAGACATATATATATATATATATATATATATATATATATATATATATATATCAGCATATGATGTTTTATAATATTACTCCACCACCACATGATAAGAAAATGCAGTGTGATGTCCTTTGCATGTGTTTGTGTACGTGGGAAATTAGGAATATGATACATACATGTACCCACACATACAATACCTCATCCACTGTCACTTCCGTGCTTACTTTCTTTCTGTGTTAGCAATTTCTGAACAGACCACCAAATTGAATTTATCATTTTAGGACATGTGAATTTATCATACTGCAACTTCGTCTGATGATTGACAAGCAACAACATATTAACAACGAAAAAGAAATAAATCAAATGATGGATGAATGAGGTGCGCGTGGCGTATTTCTATTTCACACCAACCTCTCCATCATACTCAATATTGGCGCGTGCAGAAATGTAAGCAAAACAGAAACTAGTAGATCGATAAGCAAACTAATGTATTAAAAAACCCTAGAGGAGAGGAAAAACTCTTTCTTCTGATATCCCACCTCTGCGCAGCATATCACACTTTGGATCACGCACAAAAAAAACATAAGGCAAAGTAAAGAATTAGCGAATTAGTATGAACGACTGGGACAAAGTAAATAATATAAACAAAATTATTGGAAACGTGAAAATTACTTTGATGTTCTTTTAGTTGATCCTGCTTCATCAGATGAAAATGTTTTATAAGCCAGATAACATGACGTATGTGTACACAAACACAAACTGAATAATAAGCAACAAGAATCACAGCAAAAAGTGTTTATAATAATCCTACAGGAAATCGGCTGAAGGTTGACTACTTGTCAAAATAGAAGTAGTAATAGTGTACATTAATATGTTGTAAGTGTATATGCAGTTTGATTACACTAGTCCAAACAGAAAAGACTTTACAAACATGAGTAGAAACGATAATGACGACAATAGGTAGCAACAGACAAATATAACTTCAGTCTCCAAACATCTTGCTAAGACAACAATCAGATTACTACTGGTAAATAAGTAGAAGTGATAACAATAGTATGGTTAATAAACAATCATAATTTTCCTGTACACGATTGTATATTATTACGCTAGGAGAGATGAAAGGCATTCTGACCTTCATTGATTGCATAAAGTAGCTTGGAAAGCATCAGCTCTTTGGATGAATAGTCTGGAAGTTTTAGATAATTTTGACATGTCATCACAGAAGGCAAATGGTTGTCAGCATTTTCACCTGTCTCGCGTTTCATAACAATTTTTAAAGGTGGTTTCAATGCACGAAAACCTAGGAAAGTAGAGAAGAGAATTGATGCGAAATTACTATTTTTTGCACATACACAAGGCTAATAATGAATAATCAAAAGTCAAGAAAGTGTTTGTAAACCAGATGATATCTTAATCGTGAAGCCTGAAGGCAAACGATTCAAAAGAAGATTGAAGCTGGAAAATATAACCTGTTAGTAATTGTAGATATGACAACTGACTGACTGACTGACTATAAGACATACAGGTGATATAACACAAGAATCAATTACACTTTTTTTCACTTGGAACCCAATGGCTGATAACCGTTAATTTTCGCCTACTTTTTAGATTTCACTTTAATGATCAATTGTTTTTATAGATTTTCTCAAGTTTTCTTATGGCGAAAACCACTTTGTATGACCGTTTGTTTGGCTCCGGATTCATATCAACAAAAAATAAATGCAACTGTAAAAATCTACATTAACGTTGAAGCTGTCTATATTTCAAGTGCAGTTTCATAGTGATTGTTTCTAAGACGACGTTTGGTGAATTATTTCACATGCAGAGTGTTAATCGTTCTAAGTCAATACAAAAGTGAATGTGTTACAGTAGACTGGGGTCCAAGAAGCTTCAAACGGCTCTAACTATATGAATTGCGCAGAGCAATGTAGGCTTATTGAGTTTTGTACACAGGAGGTTGGAAATGCTTCAAAGTCAGCTTCAGCAGTAAAGATGCATTAGTTATATGATTTCTTGCATACAACCGATAAAATCATCATCATCAAGACCAACATAGGACTAGGCATTACTGCGCAACGGTCCTAGTTGCTACATCTCATATCAGGACATCAAGTAAGGAGGCAATAAAATGGAAGATGAAGAAGGAAAGAAAAACCGATCAAAAGAAGTAGAAAGTAGTAAAAGATAAGAAAGAGGACTGAGATGATGAGATTATATAGAGCGGTCAAGATGAGGATAATGAGTGTATGCATTTGCGCCACTGACTTCGGTTCTGAGCCATATCACCTAAAGTCTCCAACCGCTAGCTTCTCCTGTTCTGCGGACGCCAACCAGCTAGTCTGTATCACCCTACATGGCTCAAATGAAGGATATAATGCTGATATACCGATGCTGATTTATTCAGAACTGTCGGCATTATTATTTTCATCCTCTTCACTTCTATCCGTCTCAACTGACAGAAAATAAAAACACCCAGTCATATGATGAAACCTTTTGGGTGTACTTTCATTAATGCACTTCAGTAATATATACCTTTCGACAAGAGATAATCATAATAGTTTGTTGAAATCCACTCATTTTTTTCTTTGTTTTCAGAAGCAGAAGTAAATACCAACTGTTGAGGCGAAAACAACCTAGTGGATGGTCGAAGTGATACTTTATTTCATTACTCAGTCATGAGTGTTTCAACGGTCCACTCTGAGACAAAGTTATTATTCATAACACCGTTTTTAATGACAGGCTAGTTATCATCTTAAGTTGTATTGTCTAAAAACTCATCAGCCGAAATATGAATATTCAAAATTAGGTTATAACAACGAATGCTCACATTAATACAAGTGGAAAAGTTGGACACTGGTAGAATTCAATTCCATATTAGATTTATTTATTCGATTTATAACACACAGTGAGACACCATATGAAGAGATTGAGAAACTTTTAGACAGGGTTATGAATAAAACTATGAAATCCACAACCGATCTGGTACGCTGATTAAAGATATCTGTAAGTGAATTTAAATGGCTTAATTTGATGGCCAAAACTAACAATCCTAACAGAATTTATGGCACTTTTAAGGTTCATAAACCAAGTTATCCCATTAGACCTATAGTTGACTTCAGAAATACCCCAACGTACGAACTAGCAAAATACTTAGCATCGATATTGTGTCCTATTAGCAAACGTTCAAATTTCAGACTAGTAAACTATTACGAGTTAAAACTAAGGCTTAATGACCTACATATAGAAGAGGATGAAAAAATGGTTAGTTTTCAAGTAACAAGTCTTTATACTAGAATACTAATCAATATGACACTGGAGACAGTCAGAAATCAACTAAATACTAACTCAGAACTTACTGACATAACTAAGATATCGGTTGATGAGATCATATTGAACATACGGTTGCGTCTTCAAGTTTCAGGACAAAATATATAGTCAAACAGAACGAGTAGCAATTGAATAGCCAATACCCCCAATGGTAGCAGATATATTCATACATAGTTGGGAAAACATGGCCTTACAAACGTTTAGTCCTGCACCTGAGATATGGTGCCTATATGTGGATGACACATTCACTGTGTTGAAATCAGAAAATATCGACAATTTCCTCACACATAAACTTAGTAATCGATGCAATCCAATTCGCTTATGGGGTAGAAAACGAACAAGGAGAATTGCCTATGTTAGATTGCAGGATAAATGGAAGGACAGACGGTGGTTTGGATACTATCGTCTACAGAAAACCGACACATTCCAACAGGTATCTAGACTTCAAGTCATCTCATCCAATGTCAATTAAAGCAAATTTAGCCGAATGTTTAAATGATAGAGCTAGAAAACTGACTAGTCACTGAAAGGACCTAAACAAGGAAGTCAAGCATACAATTAATAATTATCCTCTAAAGTTGATTGAGAAATTCATACGAACACAACAAACGTAATAATAACAGCAACATGAGTATGAATAAGAACAACAACACGAGTAAGAAGGAATTCATAGCCTCCTTTGTGTTACCCTATAAGGAAAGCACATCAGAAACTTTACGTAGGATCCTCAACAAAGCTGGAATTAGGGTGGCATTCAAACCTAAAAGCTCACTCAGAAATAAGCTTCACTGGCTTAAGGATCAGATAGAACCAGTTAAGCAAAATAATCTAATCCATCAAATTTCATGTAATGACTAAGAGGTCAGGTACATAGATCAAATTAGCCCGGCTGGTCGGGGGTTAGTTACAATAGTCGAACATAGGGACCTAGCTAAATATACAATGACAGACTCGAATAAGATTAATGATCTAGAAGAAAATTCGGCTATTGCAATGCATGCATTAACATACACGATAGGGTAGGATAAATTCAATATAATTAGGTGGAGAGAGATTGATTACTGAATCCTTGTTCATCGAATCAATACCCAACACATGTAGTAGAAATGATGCAACATCTTTACCAGAAATATGGAAAATCTTACTACCAATAAAAACAACATGAGGTGACATAACTATAAAAATCAGATGTTGAAAGTGGAGCGTGATTACATTGATATTATTATGAGCAATAATTTATGCTCGAAGTGTCGTCATCAAGTAAATAATACTGTGTAACTGTATGTTATAAATCAAATGAACAAATCTAACAAACAGCACACACACACACACAGTAGGTCTGGTTCTATATTTTAATAAAAAGTGCAATAACTATAAGGTAATACTTCAAAACAGTCAATTCTGTAAGGTCAGTTGACTACGTGTAATCATTGTTGATACAGTAAAACTATCAGTCCTTGTTTATGAACTCATTATAGACAAACATACAAAACTAATTCGTCAAATATAGTCTACATGATCAAAATATAACAACTTAGTAAACTTAGTCTATAACTTACCACCAACAGGTAAACGAGGACTACCCGTAACAAATTGTACAAATAGTCGACGTTGTTGTGCATTGAATTCAGACATTATTTCAAAAAGAAAACGAATAGCACGAGACTGAGGTGTGTAGCCATGATCACAACAGCATGACTGAGATAAACTCTGTACATCCCAGCCTTCTTCATCTGGGATTAAATTATTCTTATTCAATTTTATAGGTTTCATATCACCATTCTGATCAACTGAAAACGATTCAAATCTGGCAGATGATTCCCCACAGAATAAATTTTCCATTTCATCCGGTTGAAATATTGAGGTCAATCGTGAACGGATATTTGGCAGTACTGAATCGAAACCTTTCAAAACTGCTTCCATTTGACGACCAGCACCTTCAATAACTAACCAGTGAGCAACCAAGCGTAGATAACAACTAAGATTAGAACCAGTGACGTTAATGTGTGCACCATTTTTAACTAACTCAACCTGCGAAAAATGAGTAAGTAGACGGTACAAATTATGTAAGAAAGTCTAGAATACAAGTGCGAAGAATCAATCATAATTACACACTTGTCAACTGATCTATACAAAAACAGATATGAATGAGAAGATTACTGTGACTCATCATCTATAACACTATATCATAAAAATTTGAACTTAATTCGTTTATTCATCTACTCATATTCTAGATATAAAAATGAGCTTGAGGAAAAGAAATTTGTGACCATAGGGAAAAAGTTAAAGCAGATGTACTAATGATACCAATAATGATGATCGAAGCAGCTGGTGGCAATAGCTTCCGCATACACAGACATAGAACATGGCACACCGAGGCGTGACCCAGTTGCATTTTTTTATATAGCTATGCGTGCTTTGATGGATAAGTGTTGGAAAGCATGAACCCTAAGACTCAAGGTAGTGTGACAGCTGCTACCCACCACTGTTGCCTGTACCATTTGACCATCTTTATTTTCATCTTTAATAAAAATCAGAATATTTATTCTGCTAGAGAAGTTGTGGCATATAAAACGAAATGTTCAGAAACATCTTTTGACTATCTAAACAAGCTGGGATTATATCAAAATTTCTGCAATTATTTCACTTTGTTCACATTTATCTTAATTATTTGCCATTGGTTAAGCGTATTAGGTTGTAAAGCAACTACAAATAACTTCCTTTAGAATACACATCAAAATACATAATGGTCCATTGTCCACTACATTGGCTTAAAGAGAAGAATTTCTTGAAGTATAAAAACTCTCATAGATAGGGTTAACAACATTCATATCAGAAGCACGAAATCTATTTTGTTCGCAATTACGTGAAACAAAGTGTACTCATTATTCAGAGGATACACTGATGGAACACACATAGACTGATTTGCTTTTATCACATCTGAATCACAGAGTAGACAAAATGCTGAAAGAAACCTAATATATACAAACATACACGACATACTGAAAATCAAAGCAGTTTAGTTTCCACTAGTCAAGAACTGATTTATTTAACGCTTAAAAAGAAATTAGTTAAACCAGGTTCTAAGGCATCAATTTTTTTTCCAGCTTTTTCTGTTAATCATTTACTATAATGAACTCAAAGGAAGAGAAAACAGTAATAAGATCCTACCTCATATCCAGGAAGCGTAAAATTTAAACACAAATCATCGACTTCATTATCCAGCATTAACAAAGAAGCTTTGATTGAATCCACCTTCTGCGAATGATGTGAACTTTTAATTGCTGTAGCACTGTGAATTCCAAGAGAACTAGGAGAGATATTCAAATCCATATTGGATAACTGACGACATAAAGCTTGACGACGATTAACCAATTCCGTTAGTTGCCTTATATGTCGACTTAAATCCGGGTCAACCAACGGTAAATCACTTGGTGATATATGACCTTTACTAACGGCATCCTGAGCAGTGGGTGCTAAAAACCATTTGAAAAATGCTGGTGAAAAAGGTAAATCCAATCTTCGCCAGTCTAGCAAGGCTCTGGCTAATATGCGACCAAGAAAATTGAATTTCATGCACACCTGAACAACATAATAAAAATCGAATACTGAAGTATACAATTTTTCAAACGAATTATAAAGAATAATAGCCTAAATGAAGTTAATAACATCTAACTATTTGTCAGCAGAGTGTGGCAAATTGAGCAATGAGACTCAGCGAGAGCTCTTGTGTTTTTCAGCTAGTCAGTGAGTTAATATCAATATGAGTGAAGCTGTGGATCATTGTTTTAAGCACGTAACTTCCAGTTAGTGGGTCGTGTTTGAATCCTGCTACACCTGATGAGGTTTGGTTGGTAGCTAGGTAGTATCAGAATGTGTGGGCCGTTCTCTATTGTACGAATGTGTACATAGTTTCTGAGGGAAATTAGTTTTTATTCATAGTCAACTTCGGACCTGGCATTAGTATTTAATGGTTTAATTGGCTACAACTCAGATCACTTCTTCAAGGTAACAAATACAAGCCGAAAAACGAGAATAGTATGATCTAAAAGTTATCGTAAGCAATTCTACAAAAGAAAGACAGATGAAAGCAAACAGTGAAATCAAATATCATGGTTAGGATGAAAAATAGGTGTCGGTACACAGTTATCACGATCTGTTTTCGTTCACATCACTTACAGTTGCTAACCAGTGATCCAGCTTTTTTCCTAAAGAACCCATCTGGAGGTGTGCACTTTCCTATGCTGTTCAAACTAGCTTTCAGAAGTCTAATTATCAGTGTCACCTCTTAGTGTAGAGCAAATTTCTGCGTAACGCACATGAAACTTTGTAGATACCTGGACCCTGTAGGTGTCAGAATTGGTACAATAAGTTGACAACAATCAAGCCTTTGGTATTCCAAAAGAGATTTCATCGGTCACCGATCTGACAAACGCGTACAATCACTTCACTGTTGACTGTCAAATGAGGTCTGAAAACATATTATTCAGTAAACAATCAATTTATTTTGTCACTTTAATGTGCGTCTATCCATTTACTTGCTCCAGTGGATCAAAGTACATTGTAGTGTCAATTCCAGAAGCGTATTTTGGGACGCATTGACGTTTGGTTACGTAGAGAAGTGGAAAAGAATATCAATGGTTATATTTTTGGAACTATGATGTTCTCTGAACATATCCCCTCCTACGATTTCTCCGAAGAGACTTACAGAGTCCCCCGCTACAATTCCGAAAGTTTCAACGCTATGTGTGCACAGCCAAATCACTGTCATTTCATAATTTGGAAAACTCCTCAGCTTGACTAAGGCTAGAATAGTATTTTCCTAGTTGTTTGCTTCCGCTGATAAATTTTTACTGAAACTTTTTCGATATTTTTGTGCTATATTTTGCAGTTTAGCACTTCAGTTTGCAAATTTTCAGGAGGATTAGGTTATTCGAACACTTACTGAGTAATCCTCCTTCAAACTTACACACCTTCCTCTCACTTCCGAGTTCTTATTACTATTGAGTAACAACACTTGAGAATACACATTGTTTAGTTGGTTCATATTCATTTTTTCTTGTACAGCTTTCGAAAATGAGACCAAGGAAAGTAACTTTTCTCAGGGTTACATCTTTTTTCAATAAATGCGATGTCTTAATGAAGCTGTTCAACTATTCTGTTCGCTGATACAGTCATTTTCCTTGTTAGTGGACCAAAAACCCATTCTTCAACAAAGGAGTGCTGTAAACCGATGGCGTTTTCTGCATCGGTCCCTCTAATAAATCTAAGTAGCAATTTATTACTGCTTGTCACATTGATTTGTCAATTTCTGCAGCTTTCAACTCCCCAATCACTGCTCAAGGTCAAAAGCATAAACCTTTCCTTTCAAACTTTCCGACTACCTATTAAAGGATGAATATACTGCGACGCAGTTCGTTCTGTCCTGTTATATGGCCCTTAAGAGTAGAAGACATGAAACTGCCAACATGCTTAATCGCTACTATATAAGAGGGTACAGACAATCTAACATTATAACACTATAATTAACTAATGCGCAATATATGTTAAAAATTCTAAATGTCTAATATGAAACTCGGGAGAATGCACCACATAAATCTTTCAGCTTGGTGAGTCCACAGTGACTGAGTACATACGGTTAATCAGAGGAAATCCGAATACGACAGCATCTCCTGAAATTACAGAGTGGTGCAACGCTGGCAACTTCCTCGACAAGTTATTATTTTCCTGCTGTATATTTTGGTTATGCAGAAACCTAGTATAAGCAATGCATAAATACAAAACGACTTGGAAATAATATACCAAGATAATGAAAGCTAGAAATGAATGCAGTAAAATGAGTGCTTGCCTTTTAAAAGATCAACCAGACCACATTAACTACGTGCAATCGGGCTGTCGTCACATTTATAACTGAAGTAAGAATAGGGTTTTATTTACGTGGCATTAGATTAATGGAATGACTGATGTCATAATGTGCAAAAACTGAATTCTCTTCAAGAATTAACATGTGTATGAAACACAGTCAGTAAGCAGAGGAAATAATTAAAAAAAGAGAATTACTTTCAAAATTACCTCTCGTATAACAGACGACTTTGTTTGTCTAGAGAATGGACGAGGATAAAGTCCAGGGGGTGGAGATATCAAATATCCATCTGAAGTAGATTCACAACCATGCCAAAGATTGAGATTTGATTTCATCAACAATCGGCTTATTAATGTATAAAATTCTAATGTTGGACCAAGACCAAATCCTACTTCACCCTCAAAAGCAATTTCTAAGACAGCACGTGAATCACCCATTTCATTCAACGTCATTTCCGCCTGTTTTAACAGACGTTTCTCATCCCGGTTAACTGTAACTTTACGTCGACGGAAATTCGGTGACAAGGCTAAACGTAAGTGATATCCTCCACGTGTTCCAGGATGGTTTCTACTGCTGTCTAACCTGTTATTATCTTGAGATGAAGAAGATACTGCAGAATTTAAAGCTAGTAATTGTGCGCCAAATGAAGACTGGGATAATGCACTTAGAGGAGCTAAATTAGATGATGCGCTGGTACCGACAAAACCTGTTGCGTTGCCATGGAAATTTGGAATAAACGTAACTGGAACATGATTAACATTTTGCGACGACAGTGGTGTAGGACTTCTCGTTGTCATTTGTTCACGACTTTGGTCAGTATCAGAAGTTAATGAACTTGTCAAGTCCTAGAAAAAGAAGAATCAATAAGAGGAATTTTCGACTTCATAATCACTGTAGGTAAAAAAATTTGGTAACGGATAAGTGAGGTTTATAGGAGTTCTATGGTCCTATTGAAAAGCAATATTTTCATAATTTTATCCCTTCAAAAAGTATGTAATGATGCATTTATAGGTACAATAATCTTTATCACAAAGGCAGACAATTTACCGAACACTTCATAATAAACTACAGTTGGTAGTAGGAGAAAGTAATATAACTATGAACAGAATACTACTACTCATAGCGCAACGTTTACTACTACCAACATAGCCAATATAGAGCAGAAACAGCAGATATTTCATTAACGTTACAAGAAATTTATAATCAATTTATTAAAGCAACAGTTAGTATTCAAGTTGTTTGAGCAGGTATGAACCAGAAAAAGTATCCAGTAATCACCAACAGTTAATCTAATTAGACTCCAGATTAGCAAGTGAATTACATCGATGAAAACCTAGCTTAGGTAACTAGTTTACTAGTTACTAGCCAGGCCTAAGCCCAGATAAAGAGGGAAGGTTGGGCATAGGCCTAGCAACCCTACCCCGTAAAACCAGTCCAACCGCTACAGAAACCTCAAAGCACAAACAATAAAATTAAACTTATTCCTCTCTGGAATCGGAGAGGAGAAATGACACCAGTTAGTAAAAGAATTCGGGAAGCCAGTTGGCCGATGTGTCAACCATGAGCATACTCAGTTCTCCAGTGGCTGTCATGATATCCCCAACAGCATCGAAGGCTCTCATACAGTGGGAAGCAATCTCCTCCTGCAGGATCAGGATCAGGATCAGTATCATGACAGCAAGATTCAACTAGAAAGGAGGGAAAGTCAAAATCATACAATGCTACGCTACACTAAGCACCCACAAATAATGCAAATGAAGAGAAGAAGGAGGAATTCTACAGACAACTGCAATCAGTCACAGACAGGGCTCCAGTTGGCGACATCAAAATTCTAATTGGTGGGGTGACATGAATGTCAAACTGGGAGCAGACAACACAGCAAGAGAACTCATCATCGATCGAGAAGGTCTGGGTGAAATGGTGAATGAGAATGGAGAACTGTTTGCAGACTTCTTTTGTTGATTGGAGGCGAGGCAGTGTGTACAAACACAAGGGTATTCAGAAGACAGCGACATGGATTTGATTTCACCAGACACCAGATGGACACACTACACTAAAAATCAGATCGACTTAGTATCAATGTGAAGAAAATGGAGATGCAGCTTACTGGACACAAAATCCGGGAAGAGATCAACGCAGACGAAACCAATGAAAGATAGTAACCGAAGAAGAGAAACAAAGGAAACAGTGGGTTGACCACTTCAAAAAACTTTTGAATCGACCACCGTCATCACAACCTGCAACTCGTCCAGAAATACCACATGCAGCTCAGCCACAGATGGAATTTCGCTAGAAGAAATGAAAACACGCAGAGACCATAGCGCACACGCTCACACCACTATCGCAGAAGGTTTAGAAGGAAGGAAAGGTACCTGCCAATTGGAAGAAGGGATACCTTATCAAACTCCCAAAGAGAGACCTAGATCTCTGAAAAAAGTGGATCGGAATCATGCTGCTGTCCACCCCAAGTAAAATATTTAGCCGCATCACCCTGAAGAGACTAAAAGATGCCCTGGATTCAAAACCTCAACCGAAACAGGCTGGCTGGATTCAGGAAGAACAAATCATGTGCGCAGAAGGTAGAGTGGCAGTCAACTATCTACTTCAACTTCATTGACTTTGAAAATGCCTTCGACAGCGTCGACTGGGAATTAATTTGGCAACTGCTGCTTCAACACCATGGAATATCACAAACCTTTATCAACCTCATTCAACAGCTATATGCCAGATGATGCTACATGCCGAGTGTTAGGGTTGCCGCCTACTATCACAGGTGATCTTCCTGATTGTTGGAGATCTACTACACTCCACTCCACTGTACTCCACTCAGCATAAAGCGTGAACAACATCCACATCTTCAACACTAACGTCAGTCAAGTAACTCAGTACTTCCATGTGATGGTTGAGAAACTTGGCGCGTCACGAAAACAATCTCCAACAATCTCCATCTCCTGACATACATGATCAACAGCTGCCACCCACGCTCACTCCATACTGACACTGAAGATGGAGATCACATGGATGACCAGAATGATAAGAATAAGCAAGGAGGAACTCACTCTGGTTGGTCCCACAACCAACCGAGGAGGCAAGAACCTATCGTATCGTCCAACAGATGTTCAGAAGAAAGTGGAGATGGATTGGGTTGAATCGGACACACACTGAGAAGACCGATTGGGGACATTACGTGCCAGACCACGCCCTCAAGTGAACGAGTTGGGCGTCCGAGGTGATGGTGTGAGGAAGAAATGAGAGGTTGTGCGCAGTGATGGAGCCAGATTGTAAGGACTGGAGAGAAGAGAGTGGAATGTTGCCGTGTTACTGAAGCCCTATATTCCACTAGAAACCCAAGGGACAAAATAATACATCGATGAAATAATTACGCCGTCTGTATCAACCAATTTTAGCCTTAATATGTGGATACGGCTATTGAATTGCTTTGATCGGTCTGTGTCATCCTAATCACTAACTTATTTTGTAAGATGAATCATAAAATATACATTACCACAGTGAATACTGATTATTATTATTTGTCCGTTGGGTTCCTAGTGGAATATAGGGCTTCAGTAACACGTCAACATTTCACTATCTTCCCTCCAGTCTTTACAACCTGACTCCATCACTACACACAACCTCTCATTTCTTCCTCACACAATCTCCTCCACATCACCATCACCTCACACGCCCAACTCGTCCTTCCCCATGTGGGTTCCACTCGACAACCTGGTCTTCTCAGTGTATATCCAATTCAACCCAATCCATCTCCACTTTCTTCTGAACATCTGTTGGACGATACGATAGGTTCTTGCCTCCTCGGTTGGTTGTGGGGCCAACCAGAGTGAGTTCCTCCTTGCTTATTCTTATCATTCTGGTCATCCATGTGATCTCCATCTTCAGTGTCAGTATGGAGTGAGCGTGGGTGGCAGCTGTTGATCATGTATGTCAGGAGATGGAGATTGTTGGAGATGGTTTTCGTGACGCGCCAAGTTTCTCAACCATCACATGGAAGTACTGAGTTACTTGACTGACGTTAGTGTTGAAGATGTGGATGTTGTTCACGCTTTATGCTGAGTAGAGTGCAGTGGAGTGGAGTAGAGTATATGTCCACACTGGCTTTAGATTAATGTCGGAAGGCCTGTCTTGCTGTCTTTCCGATCCTGGTTTTGACGTCGTCATGTGTGCTTGTGCCACCGCCTGTATTTGAGAGGATGCTGCCCAGATAGGTAGTTGTATGTGAAAGAGACAACTTGCTTTAGATTTCTCCCGTTGATGGTGCTTGTTGTTGTCGGTTGGGTATCTACACCACCTCTGTCTTGTCTATGTTCACTTGAAGTTACGTCTTTGTTGCCTCTTCTGTCAACTTGTTGTTCTTTGTCTGTAGATCTTCGCGTTTGTGCGACATTAGACATAAATCATTATCGGCGATACCTAAATCTTCTTCTGGGATCTTTTCATCGGTCAAGCAGCCTACGGCCATCTTCTCGCTACTCACGGTTTGCTGCACTGATGTAGAGTAAAATTTATTCGATTGACAAGTACAAATAGAAGATCTAAAACAATTCCTCCCCGAAAATTTTAAGAACGCTTGAAAATAAACGAACTTGTAAAGTTTACTGTCAGCGTTTTTACTCAACATTAGGAAATATCATGTGCTTCAAGACACAATGTACTTGTAGATTTCAAATTGATACAGAAGAGAGAAAATAAACATAAATTGTGATATCCTAGGAGCAAGATTGCTGCAGTAACTTCACAAATATGATAAGCGATGACCGTCTTTCTAAACGATTTGTGTAGAAAGACATTGTAACCCTAACGACACCAGAAGTAGAAATGCTTATGCATGAACTCCTAATTTATAAATTTTCTAAAATGGTAATAGTTGATCAACTGGGGACATCATGGGAATAAACTGATGCATGTTAGGTGAAACGGCCTTCGAATGCTTACATAACAGTAGCTTAGTATGGTGTGTAAGAATCTTCGGTATTTTTAAATCATGTGTCACTGATGATTACAGTGTTTAGTGTAAAAGTGAATAAGTGTGGTTAATCAGAGTGACGACTGAAGTGAAAATCGGAAACTGAATACTGGAAGCATTGACATAACAGAGATCAGTTTCACAGATATTTTATTTTGGCAGGTACGACAGAGTGGTTATTGAAAAAGGAACCTACCTGAAACTTCAGAAGTGCTCGGTTTCGATCGAAATTATAAGCATAGAAGAATGTCCTTCGAATTTCGAAAGGAAACAAGAATGGGCAAACAGATATCAAGTGAATTAACCAGGCGGGTAGATTGCCGGCTAGTACACTGAAAATATCTTGCAATTGGCGCTTAGCTTTGACAGCAAGTTTTTGACTTTGGAATGAATGCTGGAAAAAGTTAGGAAATGATAGACATATCAGGATTATGTAAAGGGAGATAAAATTGAATTTAAGTTTAAAAACTCCTGTGAGACGTATGTTTTGTAGTGAAGTACTTATATTATTTTTTAATGTGAGGTATACTGTGAAATATGATTCACTGTACACTTTGGACGAAACAGATAAGTGTGGATGAATCCTACAGTAAAAATCATATAAGATCAATTTTATCAAAAAAAAAAACTACAAAATAAGATGTTTGATCAAAAACATACTCAAAATAACACGTGCAGACTGATACCAAATGTTCACTAAGATCCACTTAGTGATGGTTTGGTGTTCTCTGAGTTTTGCTACTTTTATTCTGGACGTTACATCACCAGACTAAGCGACGTCAGCACTAACTTCACAAGGCAGGGAAGCATATTCAGATTCTATAAGGATGTTTAGGCAAGGATTTTGCAGACCTTGAATACTGTCCATTTGTAAGCTGCGGAAGAGATTTTCATCACATCTTGACATCTCTGATCCAACAAAATATCAAAGCTCAGAGAACGACGAACCATCATTATCCCTGTCCCGAACCACAAATCTTTTCGATTGTTTCAAGGTCCACTTAAATTATACAAAAATAGACATCTATTGTTAAATCCAGTATTTTAAACACTATTAATGGATCCCTAGATTACAGAAATTTCAATAAAATACTTTGCGATGAAAAGAACTCTAAAATCAATAAATTACGAAACTGAGAATTTATGGTGAAAGATTTTTTTCAAAATTCTTATCAGTTTGTTAAGCAGACTCGGATATTGAGAGCATATCTCATGTTGATAAGCAGAATATCTATCTTCAGTTACCTGCTGATAATTACGAACTTGATTATTCAAAACACAAGTGCAATAGTAGAAAATAACATGAGAGTTGAATCACCCCTTCCCCTACCTCAAAAAAGCACACGATTTTACAATTTAACATCAGCTGACCATTTTCTAAGCAAACTAAAATACCAAGAATTGTGAGATACCAGGAACTGATCACAAATTAAATAAAATCGACACTGGAAAAGGTGTTCCTCACTTAATAAAATATACACAAAAAAAAGTAGTGGTTATTGGGAACTTCAGTTGTAACGAAAATCAGTTTCACAACTGGGTTTCGTACCTCTGTTATCAGTCATATAAAGGCAGCGGATTCGAATTTTACAAATACTTGTGCAACTCTCAGTCTTAATCATCATCTATATATTAGGGATGCCGATATCCCTTACATTCTATACTTCGAGTTTTGTATATATTTGAACTGTTTATTTGCACTCTTTTCCCGCGCATGGGTCATATTTCGTATAACCCGCTGTTGTTTTGATTGACTCCTGCCTCTTCAAATGTACTGATGATTCCCTGTCTTTCAACATTGTGCATCATCCAAACATTCCGGATTTAGTTCATTATCACCTAAAGAACCAAGTAGTTAACTGACAAAAATATATCGGCTTTTTCTGGTATCTTCAATTCACACATATCACCTTCAATCATTATTGATTCTTGAACGTAATGTGAACAATACATTTCGATTTTTTCAATTGCATAAATACGCACTTTACACTGAGCTCTGTCAGCAGTATTTCTAGTTGCATTGACAAGTGGACCACGACCGGCACCCAACACCATTACAACTTGATAGTTGCAGAATTGATTAGCATGATTATTATCAAGAAGTCCGTTGAGTTGACCATCAAACAGTGGTTGTTTATTTGAGATATGTTCAGTAATTGTATCTGAATTGTGTTTGGATGACCGATCACATAGAGCTTTGTAAATTGCATTCTCATATGCTTGGTATTTATGTGGATCCGTTTTGAATATGGACTAGGTTTCAGAGGTTAAGTTATCACAAAGTGTTTGTAACGGCTTCTGCAGCTGATCTTTTAATCCTTTTGATTGCTCTTCATATAGATCGGGAGCATCTTGAGATTTCCAAAACCATGTAATATATTGCTGATAAGCAATATAGTCATCGTGTCGACAAGCACCAGTAAGATTTGTATATTGAGCTTGAAGAAACGATGAATGATATGCTGATGACTTTTTGGTAGTACAGGGTAACCTTTAACATTTGTCAAAAATAGGTCTGTACGGATCAATAGACAAACTTCAGGTTCGCTGAACCACCTCGAAATTACTAACTCACCAGGCGAATCATCCGGCAACTGAAGCACGGTACCAAGAGCATCTATGATATTAGTAGTCATGGTAGACAGATGCAACCACCAATGCCAAGGTGACGAAAGTGATGATTCTTCTGAGACTGACTTCCTGTCTCCCTTTTTGCCTTTAGCTGTGCTAGTGAAATCATTTGTCACTGAAAATACTAACCATATCTTAATTGGAATGTATTCACCGCGTATGAAATTTACAAGTAATCGCGCAAAATTGGGATTGGTACGAGGGTTTACTCTGATAATGACGGCAGGTGAGCCAAGGTGCGCAGCCCTACTAAGTTCTTTCATGACGGTTTCAGAACTAGATATGCGAATTGGCATGATATCGGAATCTACATCAATGGATGTCAAAACCTTACCAACCAACAACTTTGTGATGCTTTTGCCATCTTTTTCGTATACCAGATCAGAAGGTGGGATAGGGCCGGTAGGACTTTTCGATTTTCCCTCGGATACTAATTTAGGATGGAATAAATCCACATAGGCAAACGAAAACCCAGAAGACAGAGTAGTAGAATACTTTGAAGAAACATCACTAGTGAAGATAGGGTCAAGACCAACCAGCTCCTCCAAACCCATGTTTAATAAAAATTAAAAATATATACAAAACCATAAGTATGAAATATAAGGGATATCGGTATCTCTAACACTATCTGCATCAAGATGATGCTGCCAAACAAATGTTACCTTAAGTGGTTTGTTTGACAAGTATAATTTCTGAAGATATCTCAAATTTATTAAAGATATGATGAAGGAGGATGGTTCAATCCCTGAATACATAAACGATATTCTAGAGGCACCATCGTAGAAATCTCTATGATGAAACGGTTTCAGTCTCCAGCAGATGGTTGATGACAAGGTAATTCTAAGTGTTAAGGAGTCTAAACCTAGTAGGAATTCCTTAACAAACAAACGGACTCAGAGTTTTCGGACAAAGCGAAAGGTGAGATACTAGCCAGAATTGTGCATGTTATTTATTAGTACAATCTGTCCTACCTCATGACTAACAGACAGAAATATCGAAAGTCGAAGACATGAAGTCAAACAGTCTTTATAGTGGATACCTTAAAGACATTGTGTGATGAACCCTATCAAATAAGCAGTGTTGAGTTTTAACGTAAGTCTCTACATAACAAGTTTGATAAAACTGTAAGCCTCATAACATAAGCGCACAGAAATGTCATCTACCTCAAAGAATTTGTTTCATTGAATTGGGAGAACAATATAGAGAATCTAAGTGCGAATACACCTAAAACGTGGCACAAATCAACAATGCTTTGAACACTTGCTTTGAGATGTATATGCAATTGTAAGTCTTCCGCTGATGGGATGATTCAAAATTGATTATAGTGATAAATCTATTCTCTGATAAGTAATCTATTTTATCACTGAATATCCTTTTTTCATCTTAATTTGCCGTTTACACAGTTTCTTATCACTGTCATTAATATTATCGCTTTCTTTATTCTTGCTTACAGTTCAAGTTCATTGTGTTGTCCATGTGTAATAAGACAGATCGGAACGACATCCTCCACCTCAATCGTCTGCTTATCTTCTGCTAAGTGAGATATCACAGTTACAAGTCAATAAAATACTGGATACATTGTGATAAACGATATGCTACTGTATGAACTCAAAGGATATCAAAAATAAATATATATCTAACAGAAATTTTTTAAAGTGCTGATTGAATTTTTCACAACAACAACAATCTAATTTACTTCTTTCAGGGAAGCAAATATAATGGCGTGAAAACAAAAATTCATCCAACTACATTCATACCAAAGACAACAGTGAAATAATCAGTATATATGGATATTTTAGATTTGAAGCAACTTACTAGGGGATAAATAGGAAAGGGATCCAAAGCATTATGAACTGTATACCATAACCGACTGATGCTGTTTAGTACACGCAGTAAAGAAAGTGTGCTTGATAAATGATCACTTGAAAAATTCTTTAAATTCAGTATTTCTGCATTCAATGGACACCTCAACTGAGGAGTAGCAACGCTACAATCACATCGAACATCGGTTAGAAAACCTTCAGGTAAATCATTGATAAGATAATCAAACAAAGGATTTTGAGCTACATCACATATCTGACCGCATGAAGTGATATGTTTCTGGAGTGATGAAGATGTTTCTGTAACTTGATGATTTACATTTGGAGCAGGACATTTATCAGAACTGTCCACATGCTCAGCATCAATTTCGTTTGGACGTCGATGCTTGAAACAAGTTATTGCAGCACTAATATTAAGTCCAGTAGGAAATAATGGCGCTATATTGACAAATCCAGTATCACTGATACCTTTAGGTGACGACGAAGCTGAAGATGGAGATAAGGAATATCCAGGAACTGTAGAAACAGAAGTGCTATGTTGTCTACGTGAATGAGCACTGACAGGATCATGGGCTGGAGATTGATAAGTAACTCGGTACTCAATAACGTGAGTAAGACTCCAAATAAGATGACCGATCTAAAACGCAGTAACAACAATCAAAGCAGCAAGAAAGACAGCAAAGTCATAAAACGGTTATTTTAACCTTATCTATGAAAATATGATGATATTGTATAGTACACCCGATACGCTTTTGAAACCTCCATCATCAGTGTACTTAGGTAGCATCCAATAGTACGGGGATAATCGATATATACATCTAGGTATCTACAGGGTTCATTCAATTCAACTTAATTGCTAATGAGCAGTAAGAGATAATTAGCAACGGGATAAAAAGCTAAGCTATGCAGAAGAAATAAGATGGTGAAAAAAACTTACCAAACCTTCTTTTTCAGCTTGTGTTAAGGACAACTGTTCAGAAATATTCAGGGTTTCGTTTCTACAGCCAGAATCATTTGAAACTGAACTAACAGCCGATGAGTAAGATAAAATATCTGGACTAAATTTGCGAACTGCTTCATATAATGGAATATCTGGAGGAAGACGATGACCACCCACAAAAAACGTAATTATCGGTTTCAATTTACTGTGGTAAATAAAGCTGTCTTCACTTCCCAATAAGGAGGAAGTGTTTGATGTAGATGACAAAGAAGGTGATACGGCATCTTTTAAAGAACGGGTTTGTGGTGTATGGGAATTATATACCCCACCACTGCCACCTCGACGAATTGGACCTTTACGAATTGATGTTGTATTCGCAGTTGCTGAACCACTAGCTAAGACACCAAGAGCTGTCAAAAGAGATCCACTTTTTAGTCGTCTGTATCTACTTGGGAGTTGAGCAGAAGAAATAGGCTTGGAGATACAAACAGACGCTTCGGAATTTGTGGCATTAATATCTACGTCGGATTCCTTCTGAATGGCTGTTTTTGACTTACGTCTTCTAGAAATTACAGATGTATCCATATTTGAACTATCATCTGCTGCCAACGGATTTGCAACGGAACGCAAGAAGTGTGAAAATGGTGTAACTACTCGTTCAGGAGTAGTCAGTGAAATAGAGGTATTGGTGGGTGTAGAGTTGAACGTATCAGAAATTGTTGCACTGGTAGTTGAACGTCTACGTAGACCGTGTGAATCAGTCTTCTTAACCACAGAAGTACTGGAACTTTCTGACGAATGAAAACTATGCAGGTTAGCTTTTTCAATTCCACTTCGAGACATCAGGGGTAAAATTTCTGAGCTACGCTGAAGTAAGCTACGTAATCCTCTTTGAAGAGAACTAGATGTAGAAACAGATACTTTCGAAGAGTTTGTTGCTTGTGAACAACATACTTGAGGTGCTAGGTGAACATTAGCATTTGTAGCTGTTGTATGATAATGGGCAGTGCCTTGTTCATGAATTACATTATCAGGAGAAACATGCGCCAATAATGATAAATGTTTAGAGTAGATCTCCGACTTTGCATATCTTGAAGACTTAGTGACTGCTGGTTGTATATGAACGGCAGGACAAGGAGAGGAGATGATATTCTGGTTAGCAAGTAGAACAGACGGTTTGGGGATTTGACTAGACTGATTTCTAGTTCGACGTTCAGATGTTGCAGCTTTTCTGTGGCTTGCAGCGATGGTAGTAGAAGTAGTTCGCAAGTACTTGTCGGGAAGTTGACTATCCAATCGACGTTTAAAAGTCTCTTCGATGGATCCCAATTCTCGTAAAAATGAGTGAGCATGTGGATCCATATCTTCATCGTCGTCATCGTCTGTCACTTCATCAATAAGATGAGATTGTGGTGAACTGCATATGTCCTCATCTGGAAGACGATCAATAAATGTTTCCTGAAGACCTGAGAAATTATGATCAGAGTGATGGGAAAAACCACTCTCTTGTAGTACACTGTTCACGTAGTTGCGTTGTAAAAGCAATCGTTCGACATTCTGCGGAAAAAGTATGACGAAAAAAGAAGAAAAGTTAAAAATCAATCAAATAAAAGCATGGGCATATAAATTTAGAGTAACAACTAAAACATGGCGTCAATAAATTTAACTACAAGCAAAATAAACTTGAAGCGAAAAAATCAGAATTGGTTAAATACACAGACAAAATATGTACAGTATTAAAATAGAATTCCAAAATTACATTGAATGTGAACAATAAGGAATTACCTGTATAGTTGCCAAAGCAGTAATACGAAGTGGCAAGAAATGGGGTAGAGAAGAACATGGTTCTGTTTTTAATGAGAAGGATGTGTTTGCTGAGTGACTAGAAGATGTCGAAGACATAGAGGACTTGCGACCACTTTTAGCATTAGATACAGAAACAGATGAACTGTTGAAATGATTTGCAGATGAAGTTTCTTCGTACGGTGAGTTGTCTGTTTCGTATATACGATGAAGTTCAATACGCAATATTCCTGGAGTAGGAGCTGTCAGCTGAACAGATCGTGAAGACGGCACAAAAGAATGATGAGTTAAAAATTTTGATTCTACATTTGTTGACAGCCATTTGGAATTCATGGGATCAGTACTATTAACGCAATTACTAGGTGATGAACGCGATGTTTTAGCTGACGTTTTCATACCTGATATTCGTGAATTAGTCAGCTTATTGGATGATCGACTGGAGCAGTTAACTGCAATATTTTTTGGGACATTGTGTTGGTGTGTTGACAATGACTTGTAACTACCGTTAGAACAAGAAGGTGATACTATGGTGTTCTCAAGATGGACTCCAACGACATCCTTAATATCAGAACTACTGATATTTCTTGGTAGTGCCCTTCCAAGTAATGATAACCATTCATCACTTGGAGATAACACAGATGGAATTGTATGAACCTGAAAATGTTCATGTCGGTGTAAGTAGGCTAAAAGACACTCTATCAGTGCTCCAAAGGCTTCTACTCCACGAGATGGATTATCAGCCTCGTGTTTTAATTCTGAATTCAGATGACATTCAATCAAACTTAACTGGCCCATCTTATTATAGTCAGATAGAAACAAATCTGGTATAATTGACAAAAGATTGAACCAATTTTTGTATCCATTCCATTTGCGTCCATTTATACTCTCCCAATTCAGTGCTGGACTGAACCGAATAGACGAAGTAGCCCGACAACCAAGAAACATCTAAAAAGGAATAAATGGAAGATGGGGATTTTTGAAAGGTATGTACGAGATGTGATGTTATAAGAAGTTAAAAGTGAAGCTTTCATTTAGGTAGCCAGAAGCTATAGTTATCCTTTTGTGAATATTGAATAGTACTTGGTGTCTATCACTCAATAATGTAAGGTCAAAAGCCTAAATCTATGGGCCAAAACATTACAAAACGGCATGATAATCAAGACTATGAAACAATGTATTTGATAAGGTGTAACTAAGACCTACAGGAAGATGAAAGATACTCAAGTACGTCCGCATAAAAGCCATCAGTGGACATCAATCAAAAACAAGCAAACAAAACTATTACATAAGAATGATGTTTCAAGTTGAATGAAATAAAACAGTGCGTAGAATATTCAGGAGTGATGAAACTGATTTATGCAAAAAGTAACATCATACATTCAGATTTTCGATGTATAACCAACTGTGATTGCTACAATATTCATCACTCTCAAACATTAGTGTTTTCAGGATCACCTCTCTCGAAAAACTAAACTGAACGTGGGCTATCATTATGAAACAAAGACGCGTGATTCGGGAACCTGTGCAATATCTCAATTTATAATATCCATTGTGTCCATATGGACTCTTCATTGATACTTTCAGTTTTCGTGAAAGCTACACAAACACCAAGTTAGTCCATTGAAGACATATTTTAGTGAAAAGATACCCCATTAAACATATTCTCCGGAGCAAAATCAAACTTAGCGACAAAATGAGCTGGAAATGAGGACGTTATCACTAGTAGATTATGAAAATGTGAAAGGAGACAGTGAGGGGTTGTTACATTCCGTAAGAATTGTTAAAACATTCAAATCAGCAAGAGAGAGTGAATACAGTAGAAATTTTCCTATTGCATGGATTATGAAGAGTGAGCTAGTTAAATAACCGTCTAAGTTTGCTAGTACAGTTAGTTTTGGGATACACTATTAGTGTATTTAGTTCAATGAAGAGACTGATTAAGAGAGAGAGAGAGAACAACCCAACGCTAAGCGAGAAACAATAATGAGTTTAAAAACCAAGGTGTAAAATAATTCTTGAATCACGACTTTTTCCAGCAAGTTGCAGAAAAGTGGGTAGGCAAAGGGTATATATGCAACTGTCATAAACATTGATAATGATATCCAACACCCTCGAATTCATTCCAAAAGACAGTGAGATTTACCACTTTATTTCACTTAAAAAAATAAAACTGCTTTCAACGTAGTCATATGCATCCATTGTTTTCCTGTTTCATCTCAATCTTACTTCTTTCACTTGCTCTTCAGAAAAATGATGCTTTAAGTTGTCACATTTTGACTTAACCAGTCAGTCAGTTACAAGGTTGGTTTGCATATGCTCATATGCACAAAACCAATTCTACAGTATAATTCAACTGAATAATCTATGTTTAACAAAGTGAATTTCTCCGGTAATACTATTCATGTTCTCCTTCATCCTGCTCTTAATCATCTGTAATTTAGTTGGATAACATGCGACACACTAATGTCAAGTTATCCTTGGTTGTAAGTCATTTTATTCGACAGTTAGTTAACAATCGTTACGTTGTTACGAATATTCAAAGTTTATCCATCGACAGTTATGCAAATCATGAAAAATGTTGGTCAGTTTAAACTTCACTACAGTGTTGTTACTGTGTATAATTTTGTTACATTAATCAAGCTGATTGCAAAAAATAACCAATCAAACCCGTTAAGACAAGACAACTTTCTTTTCATTTTTATGATACATAAATCAAATACATAATAGAATAAAAATGAATGAATGTTGACGTTAGACAAAGCGAGAAGATATACTTCCCATTATTAACGGCATAAAATATGGATAGTGCAAACATTCAGACATCTTAATTATTTATGGATTTTCGTTTAATAAATGAAAACATTAAACAGTTACAAAATGCTAATCAAAAGAAAATACATTCCAGCTATCCATGACGATAAGGTTTCACCGGCTACGAAAGCTAATTTGAGTAAATCAACAAGATGATGCTTTACCTTTACCTTTAATGTTCTTGTTGATATTAGCTAATAAACTTAGAAAGATTTATACCATTTTCATTAAGCCATGGAAATACTTTAATCAGAACAAGAGTGATAAAGATTACCACTGAAGGCTGTGAAATGAATTTTGAGTACAGTCTATAACACTATGTCAGTAAACATAAATGAAAATCAACAAATAACCTAAGGAAAGCTTTTCATTTTTCAATGAAACGTTGAAATTTCAAATCAAGTTTGCTCAATATGCGTAACAGTCAGATAAAAGAAGCCTGTAGTAAGAGCAATGAATCAACCATAGCAAAGTTTCACATTCATTCAACTTAAAAATGAATCATGGAAAAAGAATAACAAATTTTTAGCAAGATAATTAACGGGCATAACAACCTAAACTTACCCTAAACATTATCCACAAACGAATTTCACGATTGTCAGGCAACGTAAGGAAGTTCAACAGTGCATTTGTTACACCACTTTCTTGTAACTCAAACGGTGATGGTGGTTCACTAATCTCTGATGTTTTTTTCCCAGGGTTAAATAAGCCTATCAACTGATTTAAACCTCGAATCCACAGATTTGGAGCATCAGAAGTTAACTGATGAGCGATACCTTTTAGAATGGGCATTAAATCAATGAGATCATGATATACAGGATCACAAGATGAGAAACCAGCTTTATTTTCTTCATCATGATCAATTTTTTGAACATCAGCGTGGGATTCCAGAGATTTCAACAAAACTTGAATACGTGCTTGTAAGCTCTCACAAACAAAACAGATAGACTTGAGCAAAGGATCTCTGAAAGTACAAGAAAACATAAAACACGGAACCAAATTAAGCTACCTAGGATAAAGTGCAAAATGGTGAGATTATAAAACAACTAAATAATAATAATTTCCCCATGAACAGACTGTATGTGGATGTATGTCAGGTCCTTACACCCTCGAATTTCCTCAGGACCACACACACCTCAAGTAGTGCGTCCAATTACTGGGCGCGATGTTGAGTAATGATAACCGACTGACGGTTAAGGCACTTAACATAAGCCACTTTCATTTGCGCTAACCCACTGAATGATTGCATGAAGTTGTTTGAAAGGAACATCAGTATTATTCTGATCCCAAAATAGCCTATTGCTACTTCATAAGTTGGACTAGTCGTAATCGATGAGATTTTGAAATGGACATAAAAGACTCGACCTACTTTTTCCAACTAACCCCATATATAGAAGTGGTGAGATATCCTACTTTCCATTATGGGCTGAGCGTGCTGCACAGAAGTTCACTCTTTACTACTATATGGATGTTAAACACAACCACTGACGGCGAACGACAGGGGAAGGCTTCAGGCATTCTACCACCGTTGCTCTCGCATGATAGGCCGTTTGTCGTGAAACTTTCACACTAATGACGCAGGATTTTAACGTAGAATCTTAGGTAGTGGAGGGGTTTAAGGCTTATGCAGTATTACTAGCCTTGATATGTTAGGTGCAGCCTATCGCCTACTACATGAATGTGAACATGATGGCTGAGTTGTATCTTCATCTCTCTTTCTCTCTTATGAAGTTGTAAAATCTCATCGAGACTTAGGTGGCAAAGACACACGCCACGAATGCTTAGGCTAGGAAAAGATTATAGGTGGTCAGACTGAAAATTTGTATCGGTCAATGAATTCTCTGACTATTGGCCTGAGATCTATGTGACAACCAAAATCGGTGGTCGAAGCATACTAGCGATGTGGTCTGAAATATATCTCAGAGGTGTAGATGAGCTTCTATGAAAGGTCCTACATTAATTTTGTCTGTTTTATGTTTTATAGCATATTAGTCCAAAGTTGTACACAACATTTAATCACTCAGACCTTTAAACAAGATTATTTAACACAACTGTATCACCTACAGCTTTCTTTCAAGTGCGATTTCAGATGAAGAATATACGTATTTACCCACCTTACAAATTGACGTAGATGAAACAGTACTACAATACCGTTACAACCGAGCATCTTCAAGGTAAGTCACACTTTAATACACGAAATGCCTATAAGCATATAATTAATAGTATTAAAACTAATAAAAGCTGTGATTATTCACGTCATAACTTTCATAAATTTAGTTAATTGTGAAACGAAATCTTAGTTCAATTTTCGGGAAGGAAGCCTTAAGTGAAAACCTGCTTGACACTTGTTGTCAGTAATAATATCAATTAACACGACACATATGCACTTTCACAGATTTCATGGAACACACATATTCTCTAACAAGCCCACGGTTCAAAATGTCAACACACGAAAATAACAAATCAAATTGGTATTGAATGAAAGATGACATTCACTAACCTTTCATTTAATGAAAAGAGTGGAGAATCTGCTATGTGAGGATGATTCGATGGATCGGATATTTCTGCTGTATGGCGCTTTATCTGATGACTCGTACTCATATTCGAACTCGTCTGTGCTGACTGACTGGATGGTGTGGCCAAATCAAGTAAAACAGACTGGTTGTACGTATTGTTTCCTTCCATATGAGGCTACAGCATACATTTTCGAGAAAAATCAAATAATAAATTTTTATTCTCACATTAGTAATCTAATATGAGAGAAGCCAGTTTATAACTCATGCTAATAATGTGATCACGATCTACAGGACAAAATCCAGTTAAAGTGACTAAGCCTTTCATGGAATGTCACAGTGAGTACACATAGAAGAAAAAATAAATAACAATAATTACGTAAATCAGACGTTTAAACATTCCATTGACATTTAATAGTAACCGATAGCAAAACCATAGGATATTCAATGTTTTATAGAGACTTGTTAAATCATGCATTCACTAGGACTTGATACAAATCGTTGAGTGAAAAAATTACAAGTGGAAGGCTGGAAACTATGATTTTCCCATATAGTGAATCAACCTGACTCGGCGCTCAACTTCTTTCAGGACATTCGTAAAAACTATGGCTTAGATGTTTATAATATGAACTAGAGGGTTTCATCATTTTTAAACGCAAATATATTCGACAATAAAATTCCGTTTAACATATTCAAAGAGTAAACTCAGTTGAAGTCAATAAAATAACCAGCATGTGATAGAGTTGCTTTTGTAAACTCAAAATTTTAAAGAAATAATCTCTATATATGAGCACACCAAGCTGAATCTTTTTAAAGGAACATAAGATTGAAAGCAAAAACATGATTCCGTCATTTTATCTTTTTACAACGAAATATCATGATAACTAGAACATACTTACCTCTGAACGATGTCCAGAAGGGTTAACTGAAAGTGACCGGCGTTTAGACTTATGCTCTTCGGAACGACAAGAATGACTATTTGTAGACCGGCCACTGGTGTAGTTATCACCTGGTACATATGCTATGTTACTTGAATCACTTGACAAATTCGATGCTTTCGAGACAGATTTATTGGAAATTAGTTCACGTTTCAGAGTAATATCATTATCACTAGATCTATATTGTGAATTAGTCGAGTCAATTTTGGTTAAACGTAACATTAGTTGGTCAATGCGATGTAAAATACCTTCTTTCCGAAAATGTGTAGCGAATACAAACGGAATTCGATCAAGAAGCATCAAAGATATTTGCAAAGCCATTAAGATAACACGTTTTTCAGGACTATTGAGCATACCAGCAATATGACTGCAAATCAATCGTGGATGAATAACTTTTGCTAACAATAAGGGACTTGAATAATATATCATTCTGTAACAAAATAAAACAAAGTTTGCATTATAAAAGCCTAATTTTCCACAAGAGAATTATGAAAATAGTACCGTGAAACCTTAAGTAGTGAACAATGGTTCTCTTTAATAAACCTAAACGCAAATCCTGCAATTACAGTGTTGGTGGTCATACACCAGTTAGTGATCAGGCACATACTTGTTGAGATCTGTGGTAAAGTTAACTACACTAACAGGTTGAGAAGCAACTGAATCCTTAAAATGCTTATTTTAAAAAATTATTTCGTCACACACTTATTTCTTACTTTCAAGAGGTGAAATAGTAGTGGCACACGTGGTCTATAAAGGTTACTATAAACAGAAAACTACTGTCGGCTAGTGAACCTTCAAATCACACCATTAGTGATGAGATGTTATTGATGAATTAATGATGTATTATAAAAATAACTACAGAATAATCTGCGTAAAACGTCTGCTGAAGATTGTGTTTGTAAGGACAAAAACAATTGTCATTATGTTGATTTACAAAGATAGGAGGGTTCAGCTTCCGTATATATGCTAATTAGGCATTGTTTCAAGCATAAGACAACACAATTTTATTCTCCTAGTTTCTGTTCCCAATGTGGCACTGAAAACAGGTATTTGGTAAATTTGAACGTGGTCAGGTTTTGTGGTAAAACCGAAATGGATATATCTAAATTCAAGTCATATTACTTACTTACTGGGAATTTCAATTATGTGCCGTTTGTGAGTGAAAAGTGATTTATTTCCCTTAAGAAACATGAGAGATACTTTATTACAGCTATTTTTAACGTTCACTACAGGGAAAATTAACCCAACCCAGCTTTATGATCTAATGCTAAACATCAATTTTCAACAGGACAACAAGCAACACGGTTGAGTGGCTAACCAGCATGTCATTTTTCCTTGACTGACTAATTAATAAAATAACCACTTTTTAAGTACAGCATAATGAGACATACACTTCAGTCCTTTTGTAACATGTAAGTGCTGTACTCAGTTTTTTATTTAATAATCAAGTACAGCTATAGAAAATAGGTAGACTAACTGAAATGGAAACTGATCCCAAACAAATGCATGCATAATTCTGTATAGATCGTTCAACAATGAAATCATTGCTTCGGCTGATTCGGGTATACAAATTCGCAATAATTGAGTACTTCCCCTTGCAATTATTTGTTATACCTAGAGAAGCAAGTTAGTCATCTAAGATTCATGTACTCGATATGAAGCGTATTGAAATAACAGGTAAGCAAGCAGTTCAAATTACAAAAGCGTGATGAACTTATGATGTAGCCGTTGAGAATCGACTACCTAATTGATTTAATTATATTGTGAACTTTGTGATTCAAAATAAATACTATTCACTAAAAATATCTCATTTCATAATATAGCTGAGGAAGAGTTCTTTAGATGATTTACAGCCATTTACATACAATGTATGCGGGTGTCGAAAATCTTCTCCAAGTGGAAAATCTAAGTTAGGTTGTATTTCGTTTTTCGATTTCTTAATATTTTTAAGTAAGCCATCAGCGATGTACAATTGAAGATAGTTTCTACATGAAATCTTCGATAACGAATAATTTAACGGTTGCATTACATTCAAAAATCAGATTAGGTGGAATGTTACCACAACGAGATGTGTCCATTTCTTCCAACGAAAAAAAAGTTTGTATGCAAAGATCATTCCAAACAGTTCTTTGATGAAGTCAGTTATGAGATATAAAATCGAGATCAAAAAAATGATTCATTCAACCTTCATAATTTTCAAGCAGGCTTTTTTTCTAAGAAGTCAAATAGTTTTTAAAAATGGAATATGAATTCAACCGTGCATTACCAGTTTGAACCTTATGACGACATCACTCGCTTATTTCAAGTAAAGGAAATGCAAATACAAAGACCACAACTTCTGGACAGAAATCGAACTGACGCTTCTAAACTCGTTACTGATGAAGTATCAGTAGTGCATCTCATGAACAAATTATGATACTTCAGAATGATGAACCAATGTACAGGTGCAACTTACCGTTGTATAGCTTCCAAACACAATAAACGTGTTTGTGTTTTCGTAGTTTCAGTGAATATCTCGAAAAGTAGCGGTAGTAGTATTTGCACCATTTGTAAGGCTTCAGTGCATTTCAAATTGGAATTGTTTTCAATGCTTCCATGAGAACGGTGAACTGTTGAATTGTTCCGTTCATAAGCAGGTTGTTTACTACCATTGTTGTCATCTCCATGTTTTTGATGAATAGAACGTCTTCTAGTTTGAGTGCAATGGGTAGTTTTGGAATCTTCTTGATTATAAATTATAGCGTGTAAGTGATTCTGAAGTTGTTTACATTCATCGTGTAACAGAATTGCACGAGGATCTACTATCTGAGACTGAGAACTACCACTTTGGGATAAGTTGATAGAATCAAATGAACCCTGTAATAAGGTACTTGATGAATTAGATGAAACGGATGATGAACTTCCAGAATTTTTATCTTCGAAGACTGAACCTGAAATCAATTGTAGAATACCGTTTTTAATTATACTGAGAATATATAAAAGTTTAGTATATATATATCAATGAGTAGGATGATGTGAATGTAACGTCATTGGTTAAGGTGTAGATATCCTTATTCACGCCAAAGTTATCAGATAATATGAATAACGAAAAGGTAAACAAATGACAGTTTGCGACAATAAGAGGTATAGGCTGAATTTCAGATACTTTTTAAAGGCGTTGACGATGAGGATAAGTAAAGTTATACAAATAACTGAGTAAGAGTTCAAGTACTTTACCGAGTTCAACCTATTCTATAAAAACCATAGATAGAGAATAGGCAACCGAAGAGAAATAGGTGAAGTGATAGACGAATATATATACATCAACTTAGACCTCAGACCAGTGAAATAAAAAATGATACACACTACTTGGGCACAGTTTCAGCGACTATCCTGTAAGAAAGTGTATCCCTAAATGACACAATTTACAAATTTAGTTGTGACTTTTCTGTAAACCGTACAAGCTATCAGAGCCTTTGAAATCCTTAAATAGTTAAAAGTGAGATGAGCTAAATAGTCCACTTATCTTTAAAAAGAAATGTTCTTGATATTGTAAGTTATGTAAATTTAGATAGATGGAAAAAGGGAAAACGAATTAGTCCTTTCATAGCAGTTTAAAGATATACATATATTTAGTACATCACAGTACAAAAAGTTTGAACTTTGAATCATCAAGAAATCTCGAAAGAAAAGTTATTCATAAGATAGTACGCTACATGGACTTATATATATGGTGATACTCTTTCTCAACAAAACATGTGAAATCCAACAAATCGTAGAAGTTGCTCCCAGCCTGATTAGGACAACAAAGCGATTTTTTAGTATTGCTCCAACCATAAATTCAGAGTAGAAAAGTACCTCATAAACAAGCAGATTTCAGAATATAGAATGCTACAAAGTACAAAAGAACTGAAAAATACGATATCCGATAAGGTGGACTACGGTGGAAAAAACATGACTGAGTTGAAAGCAGATACTAAAAGCCAATCAATAGACAAACGGTCAAATACCTCACCAACTAAGCTGAAATTTAACTACCTATAATGCCACAGAAAATATCAAATAAATAGAATTTTCCAGGTAAAACTCGTATAGGAAAGTGATAACAAGTACCACAAATATAATTTCATAATTAGACATATAAACAATAAGCGATAAAAACTACTAACTTGGAAATTGCTTGTATCAGGGAAAAATACTGTCCCAGCAGTCAACTGTTCTGGAGTACACAAACCGGAATCACTTCTGGAAAACATAGAATTCAAATTAACTCCTGATCCAAAATGAACATCAGAGGCAATTAAATCAGATGATCTTTGTGGTGTATTCAAGTATAAGGTAGATGATTTTGATTGAATAGAGATTGGTGGAAGCAGTTCACTAGAAAAGTAAACAGATTGTCAATGAAATGTTTTTTAAACAGATAGATTCCACTCAAATAGCTCACACACAACAAAACATAAGATGCCAAGATTATATTTGTACGCGAGTTGAAGAAACGATGAAATTTCCAAAAAAAGTTGTGTGTGATCAACATCTTTTTCGGGTAACGCTGTACCGAATAAACAAAGGGGAAGTCCCAACCACCCTCACAACTACGTCAGTATCCAAGCTACCTGAGATCATTCTCAACCTCCAGCATGACTCCCATTTAATCTTAGTTCATGTTTTTTTATCAATATACTTACGTCGACTGAAATACCTCAGCCCTGTAGTCCTTGACAACGGTATGTGTTCACAAAAAAGCACATCTGGTCCCTTGGAACTGCCTTCCAAACGACACAGCAAAGCATTCAATGCATGCACTCCCCGTCAGTTCGAGCAAGCTTTAATAGTCAAAACTTTGACATCTTAGGGCATGTGTTTGCAAGACACGCATACGGAACCCAAGTATGGCCAGCCAATATTATGAATTGGCAAGTTCGTTCTTGAAGTTTCTAGAGACTCCATGGTTAGCTCGTGTAGTCTCTGCTGCCATTGTACTTTGTGTTTTATTAAGGCTAGTGAAAGGGAGGAATGCTATGAAGTTTCTGAAGAAGCATCTCCCTCTTTAATCTTTTAAGCCATTGAATCGTCTGGTGACAATAAGCTTTAGAATCATATAACAGTTGACCGGTCTGAATTTCTTACAGCAATGTTTGAGTGCATGTTGTTTTCCAAGACTTTGAGTATATGCAAACTTCCTCGTAATCAGAAGAATTTCTGTGACGATAAACCTCGAAATTGTGATCCGGCTTTGATAATGACATCAGAAATTCAAATGTTATTCGCAGAATAAAATATACAGATTTCACCCAAACAGTCCAGTGGAAAACTTGCAGAAGTTTTGAAAAAGCTCGAACTACAACTTTTGTGAAACAACATATGTGATATTATTTATAGAAATCTTGAAAAATGCATAGAGTAACGATGATAAAATATTTGCAAGCCTTCCGCATTTGGCTTTAACTTTGACAATGACGAGTCAAAAAAATTGAGTTTAAAAGTGAACTGACAACTCTCATAATGATTCTTTATAATATGCACTAAAAAAAAAATCATTCTACACGTACCATCGTTAACCAATATCGTGGTAGTGAATTAATCACAGACAATAAGCAATTCATTCCGTATACAAGGCTATATTGCCAATAGAATAACTGCCAAATGAACTTATAAAAATACTTGGCATTTTGTGCATGAAATAAACTGATTTAATACAGTACAATTCATTACTAACAACATTAACAGCTGACATATCCACTTTGAAAATTCCCTTCCAGTATGGTCAGAAAAAAAGGTCAATTTCAAAAGGTAACGAATAAAAGAAAGGTTGAATGAGATAGATTTTTATCCGTTACCTGATCAAGTACACTATCGCCTGTACATCATCTGGGCTTCTTTGATTTATTGATAAATTTGGTGTATTTGGTACAGTGGGATTCAATAAAGGTGAACTAGTTATCATTAAAGATTGCCAACCAAATGGTAGACTAGTAGACTGCAATATGTCAGATGAATACATCGACCCAACACCATAATGTTTATTCGATGATGAGTGCGTTGAACCTGACAATGTTGACGATGATGTTTTAAATGGTTCACCAGAGTGAGAACGAGCACGAAGACGCTTATTAATTGATGGATTCGGAACTAGATTTGCAACTGTTAATCCTTTGAAACAAGTTGTTAGAGTGAACCAGTTAGTTTCAGTTTCTGGATTTACTCCCAATAAAATAGTGTATATGGTATTTGAGATATCTAATCAAAAGAGAGTGAAAAAATATCGAATAAACTGAAAGCCTGAAAACTGTGAAGATGTAAATTTCAATCAGACAATACACGTGACTTGGTCAATTGTAGTTTATAAAACACTTCTCATTCTGTAAAATATTCACATGGGTTGTGCGTCATGAAGCACTCGAATTTCAAGCAATAGGTACTGGGTTCAAACTCCGCTTGACGTGCTTCCGTCTAAGCGACCGCGTATTATCATAAACCCTAACACAATGTGGCTCATGGTCAAGTGCCCAATCAAGTACCAAGTTGAGCTGCATTGTATCAAATACTCATATCAGTAATTGACAGGACATTTGTTCGTTTTTGTACGGTTTAAGACATTTAATCTCTAGCGAATTACTTAATAAAAATGACAACTAGTTTGGTAGGGAAATATACAGAAACATACCAATTCGTTAGGAAATATTCATATTACAATATTAGACCAGATATTTTCTGTTAGCCAGGATATTGGGAAATAATAATAATAATAATTGAAAGCTACATTTGTTGCTTATGTACAAATTCGCCTCAGGTAAATCTGCTCAGTGAAATGTAAGTTAATATACTGTCTAAGAGATTAATTTCAAATGAATACTTTTCAAATTCAGTTTACACTTAAAACCAAAACATAATGATAATTTGTGAACTTACTTTGCCTAATCAAATCCACTGCTAAATCTGGACAGCTTGCGCACAGTGTTGCTAGTATCTCAATTACTTCATGAATACTGGACAAAACTGATGGTGTTAAAGTGAGCTATGAAAAAAGGCAGTATAAAAGTGAATCACTGACTGTAATTTATATAAAACTGTTAATCTGCTACAAATCAATTGGAAAATGTGTTTGGATGGTAAGAACCAAGGATCGGCAGGAAACACTGATAAGCGGAGAAGTTCAGAATAAAGACGCTAGTTGTCTGGAGTTGAATATTCTCGATAAGCATCAATTGGCTGTCAGAATCCGAATGCCCAAGAAACCTCAAAAGCTCGGAGATAATATTAACTAGAACTATTTATCGCATACTTCTCATCTATCAATGTGAATTCAGAACACGAAAAATATGCGGTATAGCGAAAAGATGTAATGAATAACAGGAATGATTTACAACTTCTGGTTTGAATAGATAACTTTAATCAATAAGAGAAAAAAGCGGAGTGAGTGCGCCCACTCGGATTTTCTCATCACTACATGACAATTATTGTAATTTACGTAATGAAAATCATACAGATGGTCATTACGATGAAATGAGAATGGAAATTAACATTATGAAGAATGACTACTCGGTAAAAGTTGAGAATGGAGGACGTTTCTTTGACAAATATTCCATATGACAGAGAGTTAAAGTATAAGGAGAAACAGTACACATTTAACGCTGAATTCCACCGGTTTCGTATACTCAAAACCTTTTTACTAAAGTATTGCTGTGTGAAATCACTGAACATTTACAAGCCGATGTACAAAAAATAGTGTCTTGATAAAGTACTTTTTCAGTTGGCTAGCAACTATTTCTAAAACTCACCAAACCTTGTTTGCAAGAAAGTATATCATTCACATGGAACATGTGCATTTCTAATTCCCATGAAAGGGAGAAAATTTGTAGATTTTAAGCTGGCAATAAAGCAATTAACAGCACTAAGATTTCATACAAATAGGTTTATTTGGATAGTACGTACAATGTATACAAAACGATCTGATTCAACGTCAAACTTATTGAATAATTCACTCCATTAGAAGATTACTTTAAGGTAAACGTTACTGAGTCAGTATATTTGCTTTATGTAGCAAAATTGACATCTATCGGTAAAGCTCACCCCATAAATACTTCAAACTCGTTAGTAGGTGTGAAGGCTGAGAATATAAAAAAGCATGGGCGAGTATCCCTTCCTTAACTAGCGGGGTTATGTACGCCACCGGAAGCATACGGTCGGTCAGTATTTCCTGGCTCCCCACACCGAAACAGATTACTCTAAGAGTTTTTTGCTTCAAAATTGATAAAAGACGGAATACTTGCATTACATTATTACGAAATGAAATACCGTCAGTTGACACGAAGGTATAGAAAACAAAACTCGAATAGTTTTGAAAGTGTTGCGAATAGAAATTTTGAAAAACCTAACCGTTTCAATTCGCGGGAAATATGCAGCATGAGTCGAAGCTACAACTTTTTCCCGCTCTCTCCCTCTAGCAAAATAGTCAGTTTTGATGATACTGTGTTCTCTGAACAATGTGTTTTAATCGGCAATCTTTCATCGTCATTCTAGGCAAAATCATCCGTCACTAAAGTATCTCAATAACGAGAATCAATATCACAATAAAGAACTGGTATAATAACTTACCAATGATTGAAGGTTGGTCAACAAATTACAACTACTAACAATACATTTGAGGAGATTTGGTTCAAAGCGGTAAGCGCTGATCAAGCGCACAAAACAACTGCAAACACGTTCAATACAACGCGGTTCTGACTCCTTTAGGTGCTCAGCTAATGTAGGGAGACAGTTGGAAATTAAATCATAATCAGCTGGTTGAAGATTCGCAAAACAATTATGCACCATTGTTAAAATAGTGCGATGTTGTGTTGACGTAACAAAGTCGTAAAATCCTAGTACAGTCTGAATAAAATGAGAAAATGGAAGCAAATTATATTCAATATAACTTTATATATTTTAAAAAAAAACAGAGATTAAAGAGCAGACCGAGGTGCTGTCAAAACGCTGTTAAAAATGGGTCACAACATTCTGATGCTGAAAATTCCTCCATATGTCTGTGAAACTCGTCATCATTCAGCCAAGAATGTTCGGTGGGTTTATGTGCTTAATTACGGCTACTTCTACATGAGCAATTCAGAGAATGTAACTGAAACCGGTACCGGTTTAAGTACTACGTTATGAGCTACATTAATTGCGTGAGACCTAATAAAAAACAACCAGATCGATCACACCATAGTAGGTTTTGGATGGAAGTAGGTAATTTTAAGGTCTGGCTACTAGAAAGTACATCACTGAGCAATTGAGACAATCTTATTATAACAGATCCCGTTAATTGGGCATGTATTACGATTGTCCGATAAATTGCTTCCACACCGGTTTACTACCCCTAAGGCTGGGTGAAACGGACAGTGAAGTAGTTCACTCACGATGATACTGTAAAAAATGGAGAACAGGTAGTTTTGACTTGCGTTTTTGTTGGTGAGCTACAACTGCATAGTACCAAACTCATTGGATGAAAATGACATCAGACATAGTTCAAAACTGAAACCGACAGCAACTATGCTGCAACGTCTCTGCTTATCATATTGTTTAAAATTACTGCGAAAGAAATGAAATTTTTCCGAACCAATCTATATAAGACTGGTTTTCTTATCATGATAATGCTTTTCTATTTATTCCCTCAAAACCTGACTACACTGTGTTATGGGGCGCATTTCTTGGTGCCCAAAATTGTAGGAAACTCATGTTGGATAAACAGAATGAGTGAAACGACATTGCTATGACTAGCTAGTATTGAGTTTATAGAAGCCAGATCATCATCACCAATGGATTTTTTTAAACTGCATAACGTAATGGCTACGGAAAATCCAATTTCCAGAGCGAAAACATTTAGTCGTTATATACCAAACCATCGCATTCACTCCGCTGAATTGAAGAAAATGTTATCAGGAATTAAAAAGAGAGTAAAAAAAATATTCAAGATATACATTTTTAGTAGATGTAACATCAAATTAAATATTCAGAACCGGATGCGAATTTGGTCATCTAAACACAAAGTATACATTCTGGAAAAAACACGTTTTTTAAGGTAGGGTAATTTACAAGGTGGTACGAAAGATGTTTCATTAACAACTAAATACTTTGATATAGTTGTGTAAATCAACTCAAGATGAGAAATAAAGTAGCTTAATTTTGCTAATTGGTGACCTAGTAAAAAGCTTACTGCCTCAAAGGCAGGAAAAAGGAAAAAAAAGTTGTGAACGGTTAAAATGACTGCATCATGTCGGCGTCTTTACATCCTAAATAGGATTATAAAATCTTCATAAGCTGGATTTACTAATGATTCTTCTGTGACGATGTCAACCTTTATGAAGTCAAATAAGGAGGGGAAGACCTTCTTTAGCACGTTTATGAGAAAACTAACCAAGAATAGAAAGAGCGGATAGCCCTGACGGGTGTGACTCATCGTACACAATACACACGATACCTTTCTATGGGCTGTGCAGCTGTGGTTCATTTCCTTGAGCATGATTTCCAACTGACGGATCAGGGATTCGAACCCAGCTCGACCTACCGAAGTATGGGCAGCCAGGTAGTATCAGACTTCACCCATTGCACGAATGTGCACGTGGTTTCTGAGTGGATTCCTTCTTCACTATAGACTCTAAAATGCCCAAGGGTGTTCGAATACAGAGTTTTCGATGGAGAAGCTAATTTAGCACCCGTTTCATATATATATATATATATATATATATATATATATATATATATATATATGAGTTTGTGTACTCGACACTTCACTTGTTTTCTAACGAAGGGACTATCCAAAATCCAGTACGCGAAGCGGAATTCAAACTCGCGACTTACCAGATGAAGTTCGACTTTTTAGGCCGGTGAACCACAGCTCCAAACACATAAGTCATTAAACAAGTAGAGATATACAGAACGTTACCACAAAATCTGTATCATGATACAACACACTAAGGCAAAACACCCCGATATTCGAACTCACAGAAACACCACCAGATTTCAGTACTTCTTTCCCATGACGACGTGATATTTGTTCCAACAAGTTAATTATTCTTTCCAATATATCACCAACAAAACTGGAAGACATAGTAGTCAGTAGAATGGGTAAAGCTGGGACAATAGCATCAGAGGTACGAGGAAGAACATCCATCATATGGGTTAAAACATTGCAGCTCAAATTTTTCAATTCAACTAGATGTTCTTCTTGTGATTCGAGAATTTCCAGAACACAGTTAACTAAACCATTAACATCTAAATTGGTTAAGTTTTCTTCGAAATCCATCAACAAGATCTAAGAAGAGAGACAACAGGACAAGAAAATTACAAGACTTTACATAATCAACAGAACTGATTCAGGATCTACTCTAAAAAACTCGATTTACACTTCAAAATTGAATCAGTTGAAGTGATTAGAGATTTACAAAAAGGACAGTTTTAAATAATCAAACAAGTGAACCTACTGAGACTAAATGAAACAATTTAAATGTCGATAAAATGATAAATTGCTTTGTATTACGAACAAAACAACATAATATAATCAAATACAAACAAATTAAAAGTCAAACAATTAGAAAAAGAGAAGGATTGCATTAAAAGAGTGGAATAATAATATAATCTATTACAAGAGCGAAATCTTTATGGATGCAAATCAGCTACAAAATAACTACTCCAAACCGAATTGTAAGAATTCCATATGATCGAATTTTGTTACCAAGTATGTTAAACTGAACATATTGACAGTCGCTCACATGATACCTATAAATAATCAACAGCTGTTACAAATTGTACCACTTTCGAATAGCAATAAGAGTGTACAATCAACAAATTTATATTAAAGGTAATTATACCTACAAAACTATCAACATTTTCATCGATACTGTGAATTATTGCGATTTTATGTTAATTGAATGTGTGATTAACTGCATTAACGAATCAATTCGACAGCCTATCATACCGTGCACCTAAGGACTTTGCTACCAAAAGAATAAATCTATTGCTGACTCTACCATTTCTTCTTTTGTAAAAGATAAATTTGAAATTGACATAATAGTTACGTTATTGTTTGACAGTATATTCGGGTGTTTGATATAAACTACATCTGCTGAATTGACCGAAGTGACATATTTGCACAGAAATCTGACCTCAATGAGCACAATGTACACTTTGAAGTTGTTCCAATTTTCAGCCAATGAACTATTTATACATATTATCATTAGCACGGAATGAAGTATAGAATACGATACGTATCAGCAAATATATACTCTTTTAAAGTGGACAACAAACTAGCGTACGGAATTGAGACATGATGTAATAAAAAAATATATTCAGTAAATAATAGTGTCACCAATATCGTAGAAACGAAAACAACAACACATCACTACGAGAATGTAAAATGGAAGTAATTACCACTGTTTAATGGTGTTATCTATCAAAAACAGACCTAAGACTTCATGAACACTTGTTTTCATCTACTTTCCGCACTAACAAAGTGACGACAGTAACAAAATAGCCATAATACAAGCGCCTTCATCAATATGGCGATTAGATGGTGTGAGTGTTTATGCTGCTGGCTTATGAAAGCGGAGTGTGCACCCGTGGTTACGGATAAAGCCTAGTTATGCAGTGACGATGACCCTCCATGCGGCCCTGTTGGATATCAACCAACCCATCTGGGTTGACCTAGCGGTAAACGCAGTCAACGAGATCCATATGCACAGATTAGTGGAACGGGTCTCCAAAGCACAAACCGTCTAGCTAACCGTCAGGATTCCATTCCGCCAATGCGCTGGGAGCAGTGCAACTGAAGGGTATGGGAATCTAGCTTCCTAATCTCGGTCGTCAAAGCAGTCCCTAGGAGCAGGGTGTGGTTCAACTTGAGAAGGTGGGCGATATGCGGTCAGGAATGCTGGGCATCGTTTGTCCTAGCCTTGACTGTTTTCCAGAAGGGCCTGTGAACTTGGATTAATATGATGAGAGGGAGTTAGTCTCTTGGCAAGGTGAACTGAATCTCTTATGTAAGATTATGGAGACTCAATGAGGCGGGCACCACACACGTCTACCCATGGGGAGATGAGTATGGTCAGACGACTCGATTTACCCGATGAATGTGAATGCGTCGAAGCCTGACAGCTGGGAAGGTTCTGGGATTGCACTGATCAGTCTTGAGGGCAGGAGGGAGGGGGGGCATTAACAGAGTGCTCGGCCAGGAGTGTGTTTTCTAATGTGGAAGGGTTGATACGATGTTTTCATCTTGGTGACAGGATTGGTCACTCAGGTTTTTGAATGACTTTCATGCAGATGAGGTCCGGCATGGAACTAGGAGGTAAGCCAAAAATTGGAATAAAACTCTCTCTGTCATATATCAAAAACGTTAAAAGACTCAATCATCTCAGTTATGTACTTCTAAGAGACACTGGTTACTAGGTATTTATAATCTATGAATACCCTTTGCCAAAGAGTCTTTTATGAAAGTGTAAAAAATGAGACGAGTAATGACAATTGATAGGGTACAGTGTGAAATAAATTTTGATTCATAAGCAGCTCAGGATATTTGTTTGAAGGAAATCAAGAACAACAACACGCCTAGCAGTCACAATTTGATGTTGGGTATTGTGCGGATATGACTCGACAGATGGAATTATGCCCAACTCTCACAATCAGCTGGTATCACAGGAAATTAGGTTACTAGAACAGTGATTATTATTTTTTTAAATCAACTTTCATATTTAACCTTCAGTATGTAGTGAAGCTGCCCTGTTCAAATTAAAGTCATACATTTATAGAAACATAACTAGTGTAGAGTTCCGAATACGTGATAAACGAAATATGTAAATAAAACATATAAATGAGGCTTACTTGATTTATATCTTGTAAAATGATAAGTTGCAGGGATCTGTCTGTTGAAGCCTGCTGTAACTGTGCTATGCGATGGTTAATACCATCACCATGTGGACTGCGATGTCCACTATGAGTAGCCGTTGTTTTGAAATTGGACCATTCTGACGGGCTAGAATGATTACGCATATAAACAATGGATTTTGAAGTTGATGCGGATCCTGAATGAGCAGTTTGAAGAGAATGTCGGGAGTATTTACCTGAGGAAACGGGAGCTGTGTGCTGGAAGGATGACGCTAGGCATCCTGTAGCTAAAGTAGACTGGTGAAGATGATCCAACGGAAAAGACTTTTGGCATTGTGTGTTTGATTGCATGTTCTGATTAAATGCAATTAAACGAGCCATATTGATCGGGTTTAGGAGTTGTTGTATAGCAGTTGAGGAATTGGTTGATGCGGATGCAGTAGTTGAAATTAAAAAAGGAGAGCAGGCATTTGGCAGTATAGGAATCATGTTTGAGTCCGTAGGACATTTAGGATCAGTTTGACTATGACAGATCGTAGAAGAACCAGAAGTTGAAGAGTGAAAAACCTGAGCTGTATTAAATGATTCTAGAGTTCCTTAGGAAAAAAGTATGACAAACAAAATCAGATCAAAAAGGGAAGCAATTTTATGTGAATCTGTAACTAAATTATAATCATTAACGATTGAATCATCTGAAATGGTAAGTGAGAAAATGTCGACTTAAATTGTACAATAATAGTCGCTTCACATCGTTTCTTGAGTAACGACTCTATGCCAGATTATTTCAATATATACAGAACATGGCAACTGTTTGTGTGTCTAGACTAACAGCGTGAATCCCTGTTTTAGAGACATTATGAGCCAAAATAATGAACGACTACTAAAATTTGACAACTATGCTCTTCGTGCCTTGAAAGAAGCAAAACAGGATATGAGTAGTATGCTGAAGTGAGCTTATAATCGATAGAAGTAATACACTTAAAACGCGGTTAATCATCGCCAATTATGCACAATAAATTCCGCTGGTGACGTCATCCAGTAATGCATTAATGTGTTATATTAAATAAACAACAGAAAGTGAAAACATCTAAAACCAACTTTTAGCGGCAAGGAATACAAAATAATTGTTTACCGATAGATGATAATGCTAAATATACTCAGACTAATGAGGAAAAATGTAGTTGAGCCGTAGCACATACAATAAAGAAGAAGAATAAGATGCATCCATCTCCCTGGGAAGTAAGATAAGGAATCACAAGCTTAGATCTAACTTATTATTTTATTTGGATTTTTTTAAACTCAGGAGTAACATAGGTACTGATCAAACCAACAGAAAAAAAAATACTATGGGACATAGTTTCTGAACGAAAACAAACCCTACGAGGTAACACTCTCTTGCACTCTAGAGTACTTAAAAGAAAGATATCAGTATTTGTCCTTAATCAGGTTACATGATGGGAATATCATTCAATCTGGAATCAATCACTGCATCAGAATAAAAACAAATCAAAAATTTCATTACGAAGCATAATTAATGTATATAATTCAGTAAAATTAAAGTGGGCTTTCACGTGTGTAGAGAGGAAAATTGAGAATATGGCTCCACCAAATATATATATATATATATATATATATATATATATATATATAACTATATCAACCAACCACTAGATTTTTAACATCATGGTACTAAAGTTTACTTTTACTTCAGGATCAGCAAGAATGTAATTGATCATCAGAATAATGTTACTCTCATATTTTGAAGATGACATTTAGTTGGTCTTGATTAGTGAAAAAAAATCTTTCCCCTTCAGGTTCCCTTTCTCTGCAGTAAATTAGTACGCCACAAGTTGACATAACTAGTAATCTAGTAAACTTCTTTTCATAAACCATATATTTAGCTTTCCCAAAACTTCCGAAAAACTGCTACGGCTGACACCACCAAGAAAACGTTTTACTCTGGTTAACTCAAAATCTTTAATACATATAAATTTCCGAAATAGCACTTTATACATTTCACGATATGAACCAGTAACTACAATCAACTCACTTTTACGGTAATTGGATGAGGTCTGTAATGCTGCTACCATCATTGCACTGCTAGGTAACGACGCTGTCGAAAAGGCCATCTGAGTCCCTATGGGGTCCACAGATGACCAGACAGGCGATCCCATTTGATTCATTTGATTTGACGAGTCTAGCACTGAAGATGATGGGTGAGACATTTGATTATGCAGTGTATTAGTTGTCATATCAACAGCCATTTGGTGGTTGTAATTCCTATATGCTTCCGATTGACTAATTGGGAGCTCCTTTGAACTACGCAGTTGAATGGAATCAGAATGAATACAGGAACTTTTTAGTTCAGAAGATGAAGGTTTTTGGCTTTCTGCTGTGCGGGTGAAATCAGGAATAACGTAGAAATTCTGATTGAGTAGGCGAGCATTGGCATCTTGAGTTTCAGCTGGTGCACAAGCACCTTTTTGAACAATGTAAAAGGGGATATTTGGGGCGGTGCTGACAGGCTGACATATGTCATTGGTAGAAAAGCCTTTTGCTCCGATATGTTGTGAAACATTAACATCAGATATCATAACACTTGGAGAGTAGGGTGAAGAACATGAGTTAACAGGCAGTTGGACACAAGGCATTTGAGGGTATACAGTATTCTCTCCGATATGGGCAGATGAAGGACTTGAACAAGCAGCGTAGTTTGAGGTGTTTGTGTTGAACACATGGTCGCCAGTGTTCGTGTTCTTGGTGGTAGATGAACTTGTTGTCGTCATAGAAGTCACAGATCGCTGGCGATCGCGACGTCTAAAAGTTGGAAAAAAGTATTTATCGGTAATTACGTATTGTAGGAAAAGTTGACCTAATCAATCAATGACAAAAATATGCATCCACAAGAGCTGAACGACCAGCTGTATGTTAGCGTGAAACAAATCACATACATTGGTTTAATGAAAAACATGTGCTCCCAAATATCAATGCAAAAGATTCCTTTAGGCTGAAACATAAACTAAGACTAACAGTGTCAGATTAGCCTTATATACTAACCAGAGGGAAAAAGACGATGAGTCAAGCAGAACACGACAATGGTTACGCCCTAAAATTAGTGACTAAGATTTCCTGATTTGCACTTTCCTCCCTTATTATTATTACTATTATTATCATTAATACGATTGCACTGAGATCACAAACTTTAAGTTTTACGTGACATATGCAGGATAGATCCTATCACTGTAGTGAAATTGATTCACAAACTCTATCATCTTTTATAACTAACAAATTTACCATCTAAAACATAATGTCATGCGATATTTAATGAAGCTTAAAAGTACCACTAGATGCCTGCAGGTAGTACACAATGTGTAAAACGTTGCTTGTTATCCGAGTAAATCTCTACGCAGATGTTGCTTTGATATTATTACTCATTAAAGTGTAGCATAAATTCTAAATCAGATATCGCATGTGCTAAGAAGAGTCCATGAATGCATGGTTATCGGGGGTTTGTGGAATTTACTCCCTGTATACAGATTAATCATACTAATAAACTTCTGCATTGTGTTAATACATACCACACACAGGAGGCAGTTTCGCTAAATAAAAGGGTAGTATATGGTAGACAGCATCAAACAGAAACTAAGTCTAGGAAATAGGTCCGAATGGATTACAGTAGAAAAGGAATTGCTAGTTACCAAATCCCAAGCAATAGGACAACTTTTGTAGGAGGGTATCAAGTACTTAAACGTTTTCCATTTCCAGTGTACTAACCAAAGGTTATTCGGGGAGAATCTTTGTTTTTCTCTCAAAATCTCAGATACTAATTCCATTAAAATGCAGTTGGGTGATCCAGCTTGTGAAATCACAACACATCAAGACTCCGACCTAAGAAACAGTCGGCACCTCGAATATCGGATTAAACAGAATCCCAGTGACATGTTCGGGTTCCGTGGTATACATTTAGCTAACATACGTGCATTAATCTAAAGATGCACATAGACTATCCAGAACAAGAATAATTTAAGAGAACAGTTGTTCTTAATAACTTCCTTTTCAGGCTCTACAGCTATATACATCCATGAGAATGAATGGGTGAAGTGTAATAGCCCATAATAAGGCATAATGTAAAATTACTTCAATATTCAAACAATCAGTGTTATGAGTGAATGGAAATCAAATCAAATGGATGTTTTTATCAGGTGGTGTAGTAATCACTCTAGTGTGTTAGTTGTGCAACAAAATCAATATGAATAGAATAATCACGAAACAACAAGATAAAATCTACAGATAATGACTCATTTACATACATTTGTCTGTGGTATGAAGGGCAACTTTAAAGGCCACGTTAGGAACTGCTGAAATAGTGAGTCAGTTTTGGATATTTCGGCGGGGAAGGTAGTTATTTTTTAAATGAAGAAACATGATTGGTTATCTCAGCGGTTGCTAGAGCGGTCTTTAAAGTATGAAAGTGTTTATCTACCAACGTCTAGCGATGAGTTATGTATCAAATAGGGTGGAAAAATCATGTAATGAATACAATAATGAAATAACAATGTGAAGTGTTAAATGAAGGCTAAAATGACTACTCGTATAAGGTGTATTTTTACCTGTATAATCCCAGCGTAGTATATCAATTAGAACAAATAAAAAAATAAACAAATATTCTGTATTATCCGCCAAAGCATCCAGCACATTGTTGGTCAGAGTACGTTTACATTGAATGTTTATCAATGAAATATGAGAGATTAAGTAAAAGAATGGGATGAGATGGGAGCGAAGGTTTAAATGTATGAACAGAAAGAAGTGAACCGTGCATACCTTTTGGGTAACCTTAGGGTTTGTGTAGACTTTAGAACCATAATAAATGATTGAATACATCTCTCCCATCATTAAGCAACGAAAGTAGAGTTACCTTTACAAACTTGTGATATTTAAATCCCATGAATTCAAAAGCCCAGTCAGACGCCATATAATAATGCCTGAACTTCTCTTTTAGAAGCATTAATGTTTAACAAAGCACCGCTAAACGTCAATTCCATAAAATTTGGTGAATTCCGTAATAACAAAGATAAATCACATGAACAGATTACGTCGCTATGATGACAAAGGACCAGACTGGTTGAATAGGTAGTGAGAGGGACAGATAAAGTGGTTTCATCACTAGATAGACATTATCATAGCCAATCAGATTATAACTTTCCTTCATTGATCTGCAATCTAGACCAATCAAATAAACTACAGCTGTTTAGACCTATTATGTTATACAAACTGACCAAAACTAAACAAACTGAACACGTACAATGTGATATATATATATATATATATATATATATATATATATATATATATATATATATATCCTGCAAGTTCATTCTCTGGTTACGTTCAGTTAGATGCTTTCCTGGGACATATTTTCTTCCATCCTGGGTCTGCGAAACATGCTAAGCTGGACCGATGTATAGCTGCATTAAATGCCGCTTATTATTACATTATTATATGAATATATGTCTCCTGGGTTCATAGTGGAATATAGGGCTTCAGTAACACGGCAACATTCCACTCTCTTCTCTCCAGTCTTCCCAACCTGGCTCCATCACTGCACACAACCTCTCATTTCTTCCTCACACCATCTCCTCCATATCACCATCACCTCACACGCCCAACTCATCCTTCCCCATGTGGGTTCCACTCGACAGCCTGGTCTGGCACCTAACGTCCTCAATCGGTCTTCTCAGTGTATATCCAATTCAACACAATCCATCTCCACTCTCTTCTGAACATCTGTTGGACGATACCATAGGTTCTTGCCTCCTCGGTTGGTTGTGGGGCCAACCAGAGTGAGTTCCTCCTTGCTTATTCTTATCATTCTGGTCATCCATGTGATCTCCATCTTCAGTGTCAGTATGGAGTGAGCGTAGGTGGCAGCTGTTGATCATGTATGTCAGGAGATGGAGATTGTTGGAGATTGTTTTCGTGACGCGCCAAGTTTCTCAACCATCACATGGAAGCACTGAGTTACTTGACTGACGTTAGTGTTGAAGATCTGGATGCTGTTCACGCTTTATGCTGAGTGGAGTGGAGTGCAGTGCAGTGCAGTAGATCTCCACACTAGTTTCAGGTCAATGCAGGAAGGCCTGTCTTGCTGTCTTTCCGATCCTGGCTTTGACATCCTCATGTGTGCCACCTGTAGTTGAAACGGCGCTGCTTTGCCTAGGTAGATGAAAGAGACTACTACCTTTAGGTTTCTCCCGTTGATGGTGATTGGTGTTTGTTGCTGTTGTTGGTTAGGTATCTTCATCACTTCTGTCTTCTTTACGTTCACTTGAAGGAAGTCCCGTCTTCGCCCCATTGCCTCTCCTGTCAACTTGTTAGTTTTCGCCTGTAGATATTCGAGTCTGTACTACAAAACATTAGAAATAAATCATCATCGTTGGCGAAATCCAAATCTTCTTCTGGAATATTTCATCGGTCTGGCCAGCATATAACCTTCTTCTCACTCCTCACAGTTGGTTACATGATCCAGACGACCACAAACAGGAAAATCATGGTTGTTAGTAGGTGGCAGCCTTGTCTTACTCCTTCCTGTCTTCACTTTAAAGGCATCACTGAGCTTTTCATTGTTAATCACTTGACATTCAGCATCATACAGCATAGCATATAGCTGTCGAATGAGGTTGGTAAAGGTTCGCAGCACTAAAACCGTAGTGTTGAAGCAGCAGCTGACAAATTACTTGTCGGTCGACGCTGTCAAGGGCCTTTTCAAAATCGACGAAGTTAAGGTAGAGGAGTTGACTGCCATTCTACGCTCTGTTCTATGATGATGTGTAGCGTGACATTGCAATTTGATGCGCACATGATTTGTTCTTCCTGAAGCCAGCCAGCCAACCTGTTCCGGTCGCAGTTTTGAATCCAGAGCATCTTTCAGTCTCCCAAGGATGATGCGGCATAATATTTTGCTTGAATTGGGTGGACAGGAGCGTGATTCCTATCCATTTCTTTCAAAGACTTTGGTCACTTAGGTGCTTTGGGAGTTTGACCGGGTAACCCTTTCCCACTCGCCAGGTACCTTTCCTTCCTTTCTTCCTTCCTTCCAAGCCTTCTGCAATGGTGATGTGAGCGTGTCCACTGTTGTCTCTGCGTCTGCTTTCAGTGCTTCTGGCGGAATTCCATCTGGTCCTACTGCTTTCCCGGATTCCAGCAACTTTATGGCGTGGCGTTCTAGGCCTCACTTCTGCTTCTGTCGGAGGGTTTGTGTTCACTGATAGTTCTGTGGCTGAGCTGCAGGTGGTACTTCTGGACGAGTTATAGGTGGTGGTGGTGGTAGTGTTCGATTCAAGAGTTTTTTGAAGTGGTCAGCCCATTGTTTCCTTTGTTTCCCTTCTTCCGTAACCAGCTTTCCTTCACTATCTTTCATCAGCTTCATCTGAGTTGATCTCTTCCCAGATAGTAACTTGGTTATTTGATATAGTGTTGTCAGGTCGCTGTCTCTCCTACCAGCCGGCAGCCTGTTCCGCCTCACTTGCAGGTGTGTCATAAAAGTGTCTTTTATCTTTCCACACACTATTCTTCACTTCCTTGTCCAGTGTAGTGTTTTATAGTTTGTGTTCAGTTCCTCTTTTCGTTGTTCATCCGTGCACTGCACTGCACTAGATCATCTGCTTCACAATCCTCTTCTCCCTCTTCTATCAGCTTTCATGTGTCCACCAAGATCCATTCCTTGTCTAATCTCCCTTCTTCCTCCTTCCTAACACACTTGTGCAGTTTTCCTTCCACGTCGCTTTCGCAGAGTTCTAGTGCTCTTCCAAGCAGGTTCCTTCAGGGGTGTTGCTGAATGTCTCGCACTTTTTCCTGATGACTAATTGACGTGAAGATGTCCTTTGTAGTTTCGTCTTTCAGTTTGTGTTCTGGGTGTTGAACTTTAACTGTGGTCTGTCACTAGCTTGTTTGAAGGCTTTCAACTTGAGAAAAGAACTACATCAAATAAGCTACCTACCGTTTGCATATTCTCAAAAATCTAGCTGTACCAGTGGGCGACAATTTCGAATCCCACTGCACTTACTGAGGTTTGGGCAGCTGGTATTATCGTTAAACCTCACACAAAAGGTTTGGTTCATTTCAGTGTATGAACCTACACATATGGTCTCTGAGTTGCATATTCGCATATGTAAACGAAGTTGCACAGCTACCAAGAATAAAATGAGATATCTCTGCCATTGAAAGGTTTTGATCATTAAATCTAACCTCTGATCAGCAAACCAGATGACAAAAGTGATTAACTTGAAGTTTTTAACAACCGCATACATCCACTCCGGGTTAAGAAATCGTTGTGGCAGAAAACTAAATACACATGAATATGCATTATTACATACGTCAAGATATTCCAAACATTCCTAAGAAAGAGGCTACGTAGTTCATACATACGGACAACAGATTTTTTAGCCTTCTTCACGACTCGCGTCGAAAATCTGACTTTACTGACGATAAAAATCAATTTCATTCATTTGGATTCTTTGATAAGTTTGCACAAAGCAGGAAGGACTAGATTTGCAGAATAGAATGATATCCCTTTTATAAATACCCTTCAGCTGCACTCAGTCTAAAGGTACAATCAGTATTAGCATATAAGAGGTTAAAATTAGGAAATCAATGATCTTAAGTTGTACAGTAAAATCATTGTAATATGTGAGAAAACTAATTGTGTGGAGGAGTAATAAATGTAAAAAAGGAGCGATTGGTAGTGACTAAAAATAGTTGAGTAAAATGGGAGATTGTGTAATTAAAATGAAACGAGATCAAATTATGGTCACCATGTGTCAGTATACGATACTAGTTCAAACTGGATAAATACACTATTCATGTCATCTCTAACTACATTTATGAATTTACATGCACTTATGATAGCAAATACGTTGTGGGACTGAGAAGAAGGCATCTATTTTGTTTACTGAGCATATACGTAAGAATCTGTGCCTGAAATGAAGCAAGTTTCTTACCAGTGCAGTTAACAGACACCTAATAGACACAAGGCATCAGGTTCACTTCTCAAATACTTTTAAAATAATAAAGGTTACAGAAAACGTCTGGATTACTATGCTTTACGGAAGCGATTGCTGTAAAACACTCAACCTCACCTCTGCATACTGAAGGTCTGTGATAAATCTCTCATCCCCATGGTGACCATAATTTGATCTCGTTTCATTTTAATTACACAATCTCCCATTTTACTCAACTATTTTTAGTCACTACCAATCGCTCCTTTTTTACATTTATTACTCCTCCACACAATTAGTTTTCTCACATATTACAATGATTTTACTGTACAACTTAAGATCATTGATTTCCTAATTTTAACCTCTTATATGCTAATACTGATTGTACCTTTAGACTGAATGCAGTTGAAGGGTATTTATAAAAGGGATATCATTCTGTTGTACAAATCTAGTTCTTCTTGTTTTGGCTAAAAATCTATTTGTTTTGGAATCTATAAGTTGCTAAACTGTCTCTAGAGTAAACTTTCTTGAGCATAGAATGGAATCCAAAACAAGATATTATTCAAAAACAGTAGTTGTTCTTGAAGTGCAAAACAGTTATGCATCGTTTGAAACATTTGAATAGGTAGTAACGAGAGCATAATAATGATCGTTACGGCATTTCAAATCACCTATGAACCATATAAGCTGTATGAACTTCGCTAAAACACACTTTCTATAGCATACTGGGTTCCTCATTAACTTTAAAACGGACACTGTGAGAATGCCGCTGATTGTTTAACAAGAGTTATCGGAAACCTGTGAACTGATACAAAACAAATAGCATTTATCACAGAAAAGTAAACACACATTGCATTGAGTAAAACTTCATCATAAAATTATTCTATGAAATAAGGTAGAACTTACGACCTTTTGCTCATAAATAAACCCGTGGTGACGTGAGATGGATCTTGTGAAGTATGGGAGATATTTGGTGAAGTGTACGAATGTCGTTTACGATCAGACGACTTTGAATATGATGAACGACTATGATACACCCCTATTTGCCTGATCACGATGAAAGTGTATAAAAGGAAAACGAAAAGATAAGTGCGTAGGCGATCCCAAATAACATGGGAAGTCGAAGAAAACCAAAGAAAATGATAAAAACATGTGTTCAATGTAAAACAATCTAGTTTTTAAATACTTCTGTTATTCAATAAGCAGGTTCATATAACGCTAATAAAGCAAATATATATTCATACTAAACATTTCATTAAAT